CAGTGGGGTCTATTCTTGTTTTCTCTACAATAGGGCCTCAGAACCCACACAAGGAGATTTGATCTGGGTTTTGCTGAGTAATGCAAGCCACTCTGATTGCAGGACACCAGTTTCCATTTCTGAAGCAAGCTCTGTGAGTCTGTTACAATCACAACATATCGGGCTGTGCTGTTCTCAAGCATGCTCTGTGAGTCTGTTACAATCACAACATATCGGGCTGTGCTGTTCTCAAGCATGCTCTGTGAGTCTGTTACAATCACAACATATCGGGCTGTGCTGTTCTCAAGCATGCTCTGTGAGTCTGTTACAATCACAACATATCGGGCTGTGCTGTTCTCAAGCATGCTCTGTGAGTCTGTTACAATCACAACATATCGGGCTGTGCTGTTCTCAAGCATGCTCTGTGAGTCTGTTACAATCACAACATATCGGGCTGTGCTGTTCTCAATCATGCTCTGTGAGTCTGTTACAATCACAACATATCGGGCTGTGCTGTTCTCAAGCATGCTCTGTGAGTCTGTTACAATCACAACATATCGGGCTGTGCTGTTCTCAAGCATGCTCTGTGAGTCTGTTACAATCACAACATATCGGGCTGTGCTGTTCTCAAGCATGCTCTGTGAGTCTGTTACAATCACAACATATCGGGCTGTGCTGTTCTCAATCATGCTCTGTGAGTCTGTTACAATCACAACATATCGGGCTGTGCTGTTCTCAAGCATGCTCTGTGAGTCTGTTACAATCACAACATATCGGGCTGTGCTGTTCTCAAGCATGCTCTGTGAGTCTGTTACAATCACAACATATCGGGCTGTGCTGTTCTCAAGCATGCTCTGTGAGTCTGTTACAATCACAACATATCGGGCTGTGCTGTTCTCAAGCATGCTCTGTGAGTCTGTTACAATCACAACATATCGGGCTGTGCTGTTCTCAAGCATGCTCTGTGAGTCTGTTACAATCACAACATATCGGGCTGTGCTGTTCTCAAGCCACTGGAAAGCTGCCATTACTGCCTCCACCTCAATTCTTATACGTTTACGAAAGACTCTCTGTTTTCAAGCAGTGTCCATTCCTTTTTGTAATAAAATCCCAGCCACTATTTTTGCGTGTCAGCACAGAAACTTATTTGTTTATATTATGATGTCACCTTGGCATGAATTGTCATTGGTCAGCTCCTGCACCATCAACTCTCACCAGCTATCCACACTGTCCACCCTCAGCCCAAGGTAACTATCACTCTGTGCAAGTCTGTTTTGCTGGGCAGCACACTGTAACCCATTCTTCCCCAGGCGCTATCTTGTCAGCAGAACAAACAGTTCTGATCTCAACTTTTGTCTGTGCCACCTCTTTTCATCTGTTGTCCTCTTGTTATCCCCCCCCCCCTCCCCCACCCCAAGCCCCCATGTAGTTGTTCCTTGTCCATTGTGACTTTAAGGTACATTTTCACTTGTAAAACCTTGCATCTCTCACAGTTCATATGAAATGGCTCGGCCATCTGATGAGAATGCAGCCAGACCAAACCGTATACCATAAATTTTTACAGTAGAACATCTGGGAGATGCTAGCAGGCAGTGGACCTATTCTTTGTTTACTCCAAAATTGGGCCCAAATTCCACGCAGGGAATTCTTGTACAAAGACAGTTCTTGAGAACAAAACTCACAGCAGTAAGGCCATAGAGGTCTACAGAAATTCCCGTTTTGTTAGGCAGGTCCACAGCCTGTCTGTGCTCACCATTGTTATCAAGTAAATTAATACACAAATTAAACTACAGTTTAATTAACCTGCAACATATTTTATTGAATGAAATATCAGTATGAAAATAAGTGAGCCATTAGAAAACAGAATGATAATAATAGTAAAATATTCAATAAAATATGTTGCAAGTTAATTAAACTGTATTTTAATTTGTATATAAATTTACTCAATAGCAATGATGAGCACATATCGGCCATGGACCAGGCCTAACAAATCGGGAATTTCCGTAGACCTGTTGGGCCTCACTGCTGGAGCTGGCCATGTTGAAAACAAAACTAAACAAAACCAGTATCCTACCTGTGTATCCAGGTTTACAGACACATCCTGCAGAAGGATCACAAAGAAGAGCTCCTTTCCCGCAAGAACAGCTTTCGTTACACTGTACACCCCAGGTTCCCCCATCACAAACTGCAATAAAAGTATTTGTTATGTTTTTTTGAAAATTTCACCAGCATTATAGAAGAACAGTGAAAACTATTCACATACTACCACAGTGTTCAGGATGTCCTAGGATTCTCTATTTTCTTCTGTGTTGCCTAAAACAGCCATTGCTGTTTCTGATGGCTCTTTTGTTCTTCCAGATGTTAGTGTTATATCCTGCTTCAGTGAGGCATGCAAATGAACTCCTCACCATACCCCAAAGTTTGGGCAGTATGGAAGAGACCAGGTGTTGTCTGTGTGGCATGATCCCTCTCTCCACCTGTCTTGTTTATTCTAAAGGAAAGGCAATACTAATGGCATGTTTGGAATAAAGCAAGCTGCAAAAGCTAACATATCAGAAAATTGATGTCTGCCTGCTGGAGCTTCTCCTCTAGACTAGCAGCAAACCAGGACTAAGAGCCTGCCCTGTCTGATATGCCATTACGTTTTCAGGTTGAATAGACTAACGTGTACAAGTGATGTATCAATATTCCTATAAATGTCTAGTGTGAGAAAGGACAGTTGTGAGTCTATAGACTTTAACAGGTTTTTAAGACCAGTATGGTTAGTTCAGAAAGCAGCAGTGCAGTCTAAGAGCAGTTTGAGTTGGGCACAAGAAGTTATCTGACCCAGAGGCAAGTTAGGAAAAGATATTGTAAGGCCAAGGGAATTAGTGCTTTTCCATCGCCTGATGCAGTAGGGAATGAACAAAAAGTTTTGAACCAACACTCGGTGACAAAAAGATGAGTTTATCCCATTCATAGTGCTTAATTGACTGTATAACTATTTATCATATCTACACTGTTTTTTTATGGGTAATGGGTTGGTCTACTTCTTTTTCTTCTTATTCTTCTTCTTTTGTCGTCTCACTGTTACCAGGTTGTAACCCAGGGTCCTTGTTTTCTGTATTTGGTTTGCACTTCTCAGGTAGCTTGAGTGATGGATTTGTTCAACTTTTTGCAGGTTTCTTCTGCACCATTTATCCATCTCTTTCTTGGTCTTCCTCTTGCCTTCCTCCCAGATGTATTCAATGTTTCTTGAGTAGTAGCAGATGCGTTAGTAAAACCTGATTACTGATATAAAAATTGACATCATAGCACACCGGGCATACCCATAGATGCTCCGTCTCCCGCAGCAAATGTCTTCAGATGTAGATACTAATAAATCCAAGAAGGGAACTTTTGTCTGTAATATATCTCTGAGTTATCCTCGCTATCCTGAGAATGTAAGTCATCATGATTGTTGACCTGTGACTGCTCATTAACTATGTACTAAGACGTCAATGACCTCTGACCTGCGACCTGGAGAATCTACATCTACACAACTCCTAAAAAAGGAATTAATCCTAGCCTCTCCTCCCCCACCCCGATAGATCCCATAGTGGTTTGTGTTGTGAAATGCAGATTCAGAAAATGACTGGTGGCCCCTTGCCTTATGTGAATAGCAGTGTGTGCAACTGCTGATTTGTTGTAACTGCTGCTTCCACTTACCTTGAACTGCATTTCTAGTGGCCGACTGTTTGTGTGTCTGCACTTCTGATGGTTGCTTTATGCATTTAATACGTGTGTATATACTATACTTAGAATTCCTTGAATTCTTAGAATTCCTTGGACAGCTAAGAAGAGCAACCCAGATTTTTGGAAAAAGGCAAGTGCTCGGAGACAACTTATCACAAACATCAGAAAAAGACAGTCATTATTTTTTGGGAAAATGGAGCATGTTGTGACCACTGGAAAAATATGTGGAAAGACAGACAGGAAGACAACGTGAGAAGATTTTGGATGGCTTTTTGTCATGGCATGGGGGGTGGGGGGGGGGGGGGGGTGTCAGCACATGAAATGATACACGCAGTTGAGGATAGCAAATTGTGGAAAGGCATGATCACCCGTGCCAGTTGTTGAAAGGGCACTTGATGATGATAAACTGATCTGGCTTTGCTGATCCTGCAGCCTGTTTCAGTTTCTTCACAAGGGACATGGATGGGCATTTGGAATTGTTTGTCCTGGCACAGGAGTGTAGCAATCATGGGATGACTCATTGGATTTGAAATTGAAGCTGTAAATAACCGAGTAACTGAAATAATCTGTTAAGGGAAAAGTTTGGGCAAAGATTTTCAAATAAAATAAGAGCACGGGAAGCTAAGCTGGTCAAAAAATTGAGTTGAGCTGAGTCGAAAATAACATCACAGCACTCAGGGCATTTCCATGCATGCTCCGTCCTCATCTTCAGCAGTAAGCACAGAGTTCCAATACTGATAGTAGGTTAGTTACATATCCTTTACAGGACGTTGCAGAACCAACCCCAACAGCCACTGGCTGTTGTGTGGTTTTTCTAGCCAATTTACGTCCAGTAGTTTGCCATTGCTTTCTGGATGGTCGGCTTTCTTAATACCACTGTCAAAACCAATGCAAGGCGCATGGCCCGCAGTTGGGATCAAACCCGGCATCCCGGCATTACGAAGCATTCGCATCGACTTAGCCACAGAGCCGACAATACTGATAGTACCGGTCACAATCTGGTTATACGTCCATCTTGCCTTTCCTCTGATTGTGGTGGCCGGCCAGACCCTCTAGTTACACCCAGGTGCCTCATTCTTTCCAGCCCATAATAATCTTGTTTTTCTATTGATTTCGTTGCTTCAGCTAGGCAACAAATGCCTGCAGAAGTCAGATATGTTGGCCAAAAAGCACAAAATCACAGCCATGTTGTAAATGGGGACAACGCATTCACGTCTTCAGATTAGGGCAGAAAAACGAAGATGAAATAAGAGCTAACACATAAAAGAGTATAGGTCTAACACATACAATTAAATAAAAATACTAACTTGCACAGTTTCTGCCATCATTCTCCAGCCTGTAGCCTGGCTGGCAGGAACAGACATGGTCTCCCTCTGTATTTGTACATCTGTCTTTGTGGCCACACAGCTTCTCCGTGTCTGACAGACATTCATTTATGTCTGCAGAAGAAAACAGAAAAGAAAAGAAAGAGAGAAAAAGAATTTAGATTTCATGAATATGTTGAAACAGCCTAATGTGAGTGCCAAAAAATACCTTGAGGGATCCAGGCAGCCGGTATGATGCTGGTAGCATCATATTATTATTCACTTGAACAAAGCTTTGGCCCTTGAGAATCCCCCCCCCCCCTTTTCCACCATGTTTAGTTTTTTTTTCAGTGCCCTGAGCCCATTTCTTGTTAATGACAGTAATTTAGTACATATTATCTTATACTTACTTAACCACACACAATATTCTAACATTATGAATTTAAACAATTTGATTCTCTGAATTTGCAAACAATTTTGCATACAGTAGTTAGATGATCTATATTGAGATATTTTTTTCCAGCACTTTATACTGGCACCTTTGGGGGAGGAAAGGGGGCATTACTCTTTCAAAGACATTGCAAAAGACACTTTGTTTTGAGTCCTATCACTATTAAAAAAAAAAAAAAGCCCTGACCAGATTCAATCTACCTCAAAAAAGATCTGTTTAAAAGCTTCTTCTTTTTTTAGCACTCACTGGCTGTAAACTCTAGCAGAAAGTTCTGGTTGCTCATCCACTTCTGGACTTTGGTCTTGTTCAAGAACGTAAGTCTTGCAAGCACATCAGTTGTATTATGTCTAGCTGATCTGTATGCAGACTGTTGATTCCTTGCCTCTCAGGCAAATGCACTCTGGCCTAAAAAGAACCACCCCTCATTTGTTGCCCATTATGACTTGCTTGTCATGGGGCAGTGGGTCTATTATTCTCACAAACTGGGCCCCAGAACCCATACAGGGAATTTGATTGAAATTATTTAGAGGGTTGTTTTGCTTACTGCATAGCATTCCATTACTCAGCAGTTGTCCTTGCCACAAGGAAATTGACCTTCTATAGAAAGAATGGACATAATTATGGCTACAGAAGAAACAACAAAACTAAAGACCTGAAATATAAATTTACTGATTTAGCTCTGACAAGGATGTGAAGTCTGCATATACCACATGGAGAAGCATGATGTGAAAACCATGCAAAATATATTAACCACTGGCAAAAAGGAATAGGCAGCATAAACACACAAAGAAATATCCTTAGGAGAAGATCTAAGTACCTATGGGTATGCCTGACTGCAATGACCCATTTTCTCCATGTTTGGAATGAGGACAGCTGCTAGACAAATTATTTATGAGAATCTAAATACATAGTATTGATTCCTAATTATAATGTATGCATGGTTAATAAACTCCATAGCTGGGCAAACGTGCAGTTTGCCTGAAGCATGCCAAATGAAGAAAGCATGAAAATTGTGAATGTAATTTTTGGGTAAAGAAGAAGAGGTGAGTTAAGCACTGAGCGAATGAAAAAAGCTGTCTTGTTTTTGATCTGGGCAGAGAGCGATCTTATGAAGCTCAGAATGCCTGAGGTGAATGCATCTTGAGATAGTGTGAAAGTAGTTCAGTCACCAGCCAGTTCCTGAGATGAAACCTGGCTATGACTCCTTGATAGTTCGAAATGGAGGTAATGTTGTCTGCTGTGGGATGTGTTTTCACTGAATGCAATTTTAAGGTTATCTAGCATGCAAGTATTGAACGCAAGTATCCAACTAAGGTAAGGATAGCCATTAGACTGTGTGATGCAGTAGCAATTCTCTAGACAACCAACCTCTGGTACATAGACTGAGATAAACCTCATGGAAGTAATAACCATTCAGCTGTCAACTCTTTAGTGTTTCCACGTTTGTTCCTGTTCAAGACCTTTGAATTGCATTCCACATGGGGACGACTGTTATATATATCTTAATTTTTTTTATAAAAAAGAGTCACCAATACATATATAAATGAAATGGTTTAAATATGTGTATACATATATGAAGGAGGCTAATATAAAAAAAAAAAAACAAGGAAAGGAGTAGAGAGTTAAATTGAATATTTTCCCTCGGACCTTTGTAGTGTAGAAGTGTTTGTAAATGTGCCTGAGAAAGCTGCATGATTAGAGCCTACAGAGTCACTGCACTGACCTGCAATAAAGATGACCCTGAAATGTATAATGAGCAATGAACCCTTGCTCAGCCTTAAAAAAAAAAAAAAAAAATGTTATGAGAAAACAAGCTCGTTTACCTTCACACCTGCTGCTTTCAACAAGACGATATCCTCTGGGACAAATGCAGGCAGGAGATCCATCAACAAGGCTACATCCGTAACTACAGCTCAGGTTGCACACTTCCTTTTCTGTGTGAACATTAACAAAAGGGCTGCTCACATGTTCATGGGAAATATACAGGATTGAAAGCAGATTTTACCTTCTTTTTTGTTATCCTTTCAGTCACCAGATGTGGCAGCATTAGTTGAATCGGCACCAGTTAAAAAAAAAATCCAAGTTTTCCCAGGAATTGTCTAGGCAGGAGAAGGGACGAGGATGGAAACTGGCTACTCATTTAATTTCTTATGGCTTTAAATATGAATGAACGAATGAAACAATCAATGAATCAATCAATCAGCCACTGCACTTAAGGCCTTTTCAAATGTTTTCTGCCCCTTCTGCATTAGCCAATGAAGAGTTTATACACTAAAGGTGTCAGTTTGAAGGTTTAACTCTACCAGACCCCTGTATCGCTTTTCCAGTAATTTCCTAATCTGCTGCTAAAACGCTGTACCTAATTTTGGGTACTTTGCATCATCATTAGTTCTCGTTATGCCTAGTGGCACATGAGGCTTCAGAGACGACTTTCCATGCTTTCCTGTCCTATGCAATCTTCCGTGCAGTTTTCCATGTCAAAGATGCCGCACTCAGGTCACTTTCCATCGTTCGTCTCCATGTTGATTTTTGGGCACCCTATTTTTCTCTTTCCCTCTAGGGTACTTTGCATAATACCTGATAAAACGCGTCACAAACTAAAAATAACCAACCAATCGTGATTAAACCTTGTGGTTAGTCATTGTGAATAGCTGTCCATGTGTGTTTGGATTTACTTTGTGTGGTTTAATGAGAAGAAAATGGTTTGCCTACTTAGAGAGAATGCCTTGTGACACCATACCATACAAAGCATACATGGAAAGAGAAGAAGGATGTAGAGCACAAGGTAGACCAAGAACAATATGGAAGGATAACATTAGAGAAACTCTACAACAGCACAATGTGCCTATGGTCGAGGCGGCCAGAAGAGCTAGAGACAGAACCTTATATCTCCCTCGACACCCACAGCGGCAGAAGAGGAAGGGAAGAAGAAGAAGAATGAGAAGAAATTCTTAAAATTCACATGAACCAAGCACTTTGACAGGAAAATGAAGTAGGTCTAGGTTTTTCACAGTCCAACAGGTGATTGATACTTTGGTTGATTCAGACTCTGAGGAGTCAGAATTTAATGAAGAATTCATTCCCAGTTGAAGTGACAGTCAGTGAGAGCTCGAGTAATTAGGAGAATCTTGAAAATTATAGATTTAAAACTAGATCGATAGTAAGAGAAGGGGGCGTGTCCCTCAAACAGCAACATCTGGTGCTTACTTTGTGAAACAAGACTGATCCTGCTAGGTGGATTGGCACACAAAGGTGAAATATTGGCCCTAGATGAAAGGTAAACCTATTTTCTACAATGTCTTCAAGTTTCATCTTATTCTAACCATTTGTTTGCATGTAACTAATATTTTTGTATACCATGTTGGTTTTTTCGTATTAATGCCTAGGAGCTTGGGTTTAGGGGCAGTTAGGTTCAGGACCTCAGGTCTGGTAGGGTTAACAGTTTACATCCTTATAGCAGTATCTGCAGGGGGATTACCTTGACTGTTGTCCTGTAGATAGAGTGGCTTGTATCACCAATCAGACTCAAGTAAGAAACATGTGGATTTTTCTGTACAAGTTACCTGAGTGTGGAGAGCAGTGAACAGGCCGCGAGTGGCAACACACTTCACCAAAGTGGAATCAATTGAAATACAAAGCACTAATCTTTTAAGAAATTGTCATGACACATGAAACACTAATATTTTTAAGAAGTCATAATGAGATGAAATATGAAGCACTAACATTGACTAGAAAATGGAATAAAATGAAATGCAATGAACTAATCTAAAAACTGGTAGAACCAGGAGAAAGTTATTCTTGTTGCTGTCAAGTTATGTCTGGTTTTTTAAAGTCACCAGCAAATGATTTGGTTGCTGACTGCTATACACTGATTTTGAAAGCAACAGAAGCATCACATCACTTAGAAAGCAATGGCAAACTACTGAATATAAAATTAATTAGTAAAATCAGAGGAGCTAATAAATGATTCTAGGGGTTTGTGGTGAAATGTCACAAGCTAGCTTGGTTTGGGCATATGGTGAGATATGATTCGATTGCAAAGCTTCCATCGATACACCTCCATGATCCTAACTGGTCAAGGATTACGTTATGCAAAATTTAGGGGTTTGGCTGTGGTGTCCTGAAATGGACATGCACCTAACTAGCTTTTAACTATGTCGTTTTGAACAATAATATAATGATGCTAGTTGACAACTGCACAGCACACACACACAAAACAAGTCTGGAATCAAGCAAGACAAGCAGAGACGAGTTAATAACTTCTTTTTCTTCTGCTTTGCACTCACCAGCTGTATACTCCAGCATTAACATTCTGGTTGTTTGTCCACTTCTGGACCCTAGTCTTGTTCAAGAACCTGAGTTTTATGGGTGCTTTCCTAATATCTTTCCCCCATGATGATGTCATAGGACAGTCCACTATTTTTCAGGGTGGTAAGAGCGGGTTTCCTGGTTTTCTGATGCTTTTAACTACTCTAAAACATCTAGAACTGGGTCTAACCCCCAAAGGACCTACGTCCTACGAGTGAGTGCAGCCTAGGTCCCATGACTGCATGCAGCCTAGGTCCCACGACTGCATGAGAATTCTGTGTTAGGATTTAAACCCAAGCACACCACCAATCCAAGTAAAATAAACCTGTTCCATGACATGGATACACACTGACACTTACTCATCTCACACCTGTGTCGATCCACAGCCAGCATATACCCCTGATGACACTCACACCTGAAGCTGCCAGGCCCATTCTTACAGATGTGTTCACAGCCATCAATGTGGCTGTCACATTCATTGATGTCTGGAAATAAGAGTTAACATCGTTGGAGTAAATATGTGGCTGCTCAGTAAACATTTGTGACTATTGACATTCATAAATGGGTTACTTTCAGAGCAGTAATATATCAGCAATACTGACCTTTAGGCTTGTCAGATTTCTTAAGTGTGCTATGACCACATTTATATCAGGCTAAGAAGAAGATTGAGCAAACAAGGTGTTAAACACACCATGCTCTGCTTGGGACCCACTGTTTGAAATAACGTTTTTTTTTTTCAAAGCTTTTTTCCCACAGAAACACCAAAGGTAAAGAACCATGAAACAAGGAATTCTTCAAAAAGTAAGTAAGTAAATAAATTTACCCCACCAGGACAACACACAGAGCGATAAACACGGGATGACACAAAGTACCACCATGCGGATGAGGATCATCCGTGGAAAGGTCCCAGAAACCCTGTTCAACCATTAGGCTATATTTCAGGCCCGGTTATATTTAGGCTCCCCGCAAAAGCCAGGGTGGGGCTTCAAATAACGAAAACTTTCATCCCACATGGGGCGACTGTTATATATATATATATCTTTGAAAAAGAAAGTTTATTAAGGTCACCAATTCATGTTTTAATAATATATATATATATTTATATATATATATACATACATACACACACACACACACATATATATATATATATATATTAAATATTTAAATATGTGTATATATATATATATATATATATATATATATATATATATATATATATATATATATATATATATATATATATATATATATATATGAAGAAGGCTAATTAAAAAAAAAAAAAAGGAAAGGATTGAGAATTAAACGGAATGCTTTCCTTTGAACATTTAAAAACATGTTTATGATGACTTTTACACTGACCCTGTTATCAGTCACTAAGCAAATGCCAAAACTACAGTCAAATAAATTATGATGTCATAATTGTTTTGAAAAAATGTTTTTAAAACATGCACAGAAGCTAATTAATATTTCAACCAGAGTCCTTATCAATGAGCAACAACTATCTACCACTATTATTATCATTATTATTTTCAATCGGAGCCTTTATCAGCGAGCAACATTTATCTACCACTATTATTATCAGTATTATTACTAATTTTATTTCTTTAATTTATGTCACATTTCACAATATCACTTTATATTCCTAGATTTTATGTTCTTGTTCAAGCAACATCCCCCATGTGGGGACTGACATCCAGATTTTTTCTTCTTCTTGATTTAATGCTCACTGATTAAGGCTCCAGCCAAAACTATGCTTGTATCTGTATAGCAAACTACACAGTTAGGGGGAAAACAGAGGTTCAAATTTAACAGAATAGGATACATCATTTAACAAGAATTAATGGACAATACACATGACAGATAAGAGAAGGATAAGTGAATTTGAAACTGAGATGGATACTATGTGAGAGAAGTGAAAGGTATACACAAGACAAAAAAGAGTTAAGGGTACATTAAGATAGTTGAAGAATTCTGTTATGTTCAGTGCTCTGTTGGAGCAGCACCTCCTTGATACCTGTACAGACTGAATAGGATCTCAGTAGAGATGTGCAAACTTTATAGCTCTAGCCCCAGCAAGGATTAAAGGCTCATGCTTCCCCTAGGGATAGACAGAATTGATAGAAGAACAAGTATGATGGTGGTGAATCATCTGAAGAATGCCATGCTAGCTGCATACCATGAAGAAGATCATGACAACAAGCAGGACTCTGCCTCCTTGCCCAAGTTTGTGGATATGGTGCAGCCTGGAGTAGTCAGACATGAATATGTATCAAGGGCAAAAGATGTCTCAATAATTAACACAGAATGATTGTGATCCGTAATTGTATTCTTGTGGAGCTACTGAGGAGGAAATTGGAGCACCCAAGGATCTCTCCTGAGTGCTGTGAAGATAGTCATCAATAATCACTCATCTAAAGATTACAGTGAAGCTGTGCTAACCTTCACATATTCCTGTAGTAGTATTTCGTCTGAAGCCTATTTTACATCTGCAGCTGTAGTTGCCAACAATGTTGTAGCACTCTTCTACACTGAGATCACATTTACTGATGTATTCTGCACACTCATCCCTGTCTGAAAACAGTTTAACAATCATTACTTTTATTGTTAGTTTTTATTAGTAAAGTGACAAAGCAGAAATGATTGTAGAAAGATTAAAAGCTAAGTGTTTGAGATGATTCAAGAACCGACATCACAGCACTTGAGGCATTCCCATAAGCCCTCCGTCCCTATCTTCAGCAACCAGTGCAGAGTTCCAATACCAATGGTGCCAATGGCATTCTTATTAAAAGTCCATCTTGCCTGTCTTCTGAGCCTTAAGTGTTGGCCAGAACCCTTCGTCTCTTCCGGCTGCATCAGTCTCACCAGACTGTGGTGATCCATCTGCTCCTCTGACCTGTTCACGCTTTTCCCCCAAGGCACTAACCACGTCTGCCTTATCATGTATCATTATTTCACCAAGTTGTGCAGAGCCAGCCAGTCTGTCCACCTGTTCATTTCTCAACACAGTGTCTCAGAGAAAACAAAAATCCAGACAGTACTCCTCACTGAGTTAAGTGTTTGAGAAGCAGCAAGTCAAATAAATGAAATCATGACAATGGTCCTGAAATCAGATACTCTCAATGTGGAAGACATTTCTTAACTTGAGCAGGTCTTGCTAGTCAAACTCACCCCAGCCATGACCAGCACTGATCATGTCTCCCAATAACATAATGTAACACTGCCCCCAACCCCCAGCCATGACCAGCACTGATCATATCTCCCAATAACATAATGTAACACTCCCAACTGATCAACATAATGTAACACTGCCCCCAACCCCCAGCCATGACCAGCACTGATCATGTCTCCCAATAACATAATGTAACACTGCCCCCAAGCCCCCAGCCATGACCAGCACTGATCATATCTCCCAATAACATAATGTAACACTGCCCCCAGCCCCCAGCCATGACCAGCACTGATCATATCTCCCAATAACATAATGTAACACTGCCCTAATGTAACATTCCTTGGGACTCAGCCACTGATTAATTCGTATCTCCATAATTCTATGTATATCTGCATTTAAATACACCCCCAGAATTAAGGGTGTCTCCATACTTTAATGTATGTCCAGATATCAGTGTATTTCCACATGTAAAATAACTCTGCATTTCAATGTAACTATAGATTTCTATCTATTTCCAGATTAAAGTAGCTATGCATTTCCCATTTTTTACTTTTAGTAGTAAAACGCCATCGGATAACTATTTTGCTGTTGTTGTTGTTGTTGCTTTCTATAGTTATAACAATCAGACGGTCACTGGTACCATCCGAACTCTTCGCTTGCTGCTGAAGATGGGGGACTAAGCACTTATGGGAGTGTCCTGAGTGCTGTGATGTTGATTCTTAATTCAACATATAATTGTATCCTATATCTAATTACTTTGAATGGTTCTTGATTTTCATAGGTTTCTTACAGGGCTGTCTGATTTGTTTTTCTGCCTGTTAGTGGAACTCTTTGGATTGTCCCCAGGTGCTCTTTCAGTGTGTGTGTTTTGTCCATGATTAAAACAGTACATATTCTGTGCCTGGCTTTCTAGTTTCTCAAAATAGTTTCTTGCAATTAAACTGTAACCCTAATCCTTTACAACATAAAATACAAGAATGAACTAACCTCTGCAGATAAGTATCTGATTGATCTATACAAAAATTTTTTTTTATTTCCATTCACTTCAGTCGATTTAAATACTGTTTAACTCCACCAGTTCCTATCTAACGGGATAAATTATGCATGACAGGAAGGGGTGTGAGTAGGAGGACCATACATTTTGTGAGCTAAAAATGTTGCATCCAAATTAAAATGTGACATTCCAAGCAAGTCATTTTTAATCCCATCCCTTTTTTTCTAGGCCACCAGACTGAAAGGGGTAATTATTCCCTTAAGAATAGTATTAAAATCCAAAGGCATTTTTGCTAAGATACAAACGGAACATTATGCTCTTTAAGTGCACTGAGCAAAGGAAAAATATGCTACAATGAAAATCTGATATAGTAAATATTCTATCATCATCATCATGTAGCAGGTCCTTTGCAGAACGTCGCTCTCATTACAGTCTGCCTGAAAAAAAAAACTTGGTCTCTCGCCAGTTCTCCCGCCTCATGTACTTTCATACTCAAGGAGTCACTTATATCCTGTGCCCATCTTCGTGTCGGTCGGTCCCTGAATCTCCTTCTTGGTACCATGCCTTCTGCTATAATTTTTTCCAATCCTTCGTGGCGCTTGATATGACCAAAATATTTCAGCTTCTGAGACAGGATGCCTGTTTATTAGCCAATCTTCCTTGATGTTCAGATCTTTCAAGATGTCAGTATTTCTCCTTTGTCCAAAATATTCTGAGAATTTTTCTATAGCACTTCAGCTCAAAGTGACTTGGAGATAGTCCACGACTTATCTAGCTAATTCATAAGTTTGTATCTGCAATGTATTTCCCACTGTTTGGCCTTTTTCTGCTGCCCTCAAGCTCCTCCTCTTCTTTCTTCTTTCCTTCTTTCAGTTACCTCATAACAGTTTTTTTGGGAATATTAACTCTTTCAGTCCCAAGGAAGGCATCATACATTCATAGTTTCCTACCTAAAAGCCCAACTAACGTACTATGTGCCAATTTTTTTTTTTCTTTTTCTTCACAGCCCCTTGGGCCTCTGATGCTAAATACACATAGGAACTGAAAGAGTTAATGACCTACAATGTGCTCTTTCTAATACTTTGCATAAGTTGATTTTAATTTCTTTGAGTCTGTTCTTGATGCTGTCATTCCATCTCATGTGTCATCTTCTATATGCTCTGTGTTCTTTATATTTCAGAAGCATAAATCTCTGTTATACAGCTGGTACTTGCAAGTCCTATCAGATCTCCAAACCATCATTAAAATCATGACTGTTATAAAACAGCAAATTAAGGTAGTAAATTTACCTGCACAAACCCCATTTTCCAACAGGTAACCTCCAGGACACACACAGCTAAAGGAACCAGGCTCATTAACACAGATGAATCCATCAGGACATGCATTAGCGTCTGCACACTCATTCACATCTCTTTCACAATGTGACCCTGTCCAGTGTTCGTCACAGATACATCCCCGTACTTTGTCACAGGCCCCTCTGAGGTGACACTCACAAGTACTGCTGCAGTTGTCTCCAAAACTGGGGCTTTCACACTCTGATTATAAAAACAAAATTAGAAATGTATCAGTCAGATTTGAGTAATGACATTTTAATAAATTAAAACTTTTTAAAAACTTTTTAAATAATTAAAATGTCTTTTGAAGACTGCTAAATGAATTAATATTTTGATCATTTCAAACACCACGACAGCTTGGAAAAAATTATAGCAGAAGGCATGGTACCAGGAAGGAGGGGCAGGGGCTAACCAACATGAAGATGGGCACAGGATATAAGTGACTCCTTGAGTGTGAAAGTATTTGAGGCTGGAGAACTGGCAAGAGACCGAATTTCTATCAGGCAGACTGTGATGACAGCGACATTCTGCAAAGGACCTGCTACATGATGAAACAAATTAATTACCTTCTTTTTGTGTGTGATGTGACCAGCTGCACTCTGGTAGGCAACAAACTGCCAAACATATTATGTGTGATGTGACCAGCTGCACTCTGGTAGGCAACAAACTGCCAAACATATTATGTGTGATGTGACCAGCTGCACTCTGGTAGGCAACAAACTGCCAAACATATTTTGAAGGAAGAACACCCAAACAAATGGCTGTACAATTTATTGGCTGGCATATTTCACTGTATCTTGTCAGGCATATACTACAGTAACAATTACATACATGAAGCAAATAGCTGAATTCTTTATACCCAAAGTCCAAATTCAACAACAATTAAACGCAACTACCTGTTATATCTGGGAAGCTTTGATATTTTGAAGGACTGCTTCATATACAGACTTTTAATAGATAATGCCCCCCCCCCCCCCCCCATAATGGGTCAACTTTATCCTGACAACTTGTTTGTTGATGTAAAAATATCATGGCCTTGGTAAAGTGGTCATCCTCATGAATCTCTGAAAACTAAGCACCCGTGAAATGATCAATGCAGTCTGTGAAATGAACCCATGACCTTCAGAGCAAGGCAAATGGCTTGACCGCTCCACCATCGTGACCCCATAATGATTTATTGGCACTTTTCCGTCTTTCCATACGACGTTGTTCAACTGCATCGGACAGGACTCACATGCCACGGCAATGGTGAGTGTCCAAGACCCATTGCGGCCAGGCATGAAGTTCATCCTCTCCATAGCACAAAGCCTGGGCATTATTGCAGAGACCATATGTTGCCCATGCGTCATGATCTCTCTCTCGACCTGCCTTGTTTACTCCAACGAAAAGGTAACACCACCACATTTAGAACAAAGCAGGCTGCAGAAGCTGCCGGACCAGAAGAGCAATGCTCTGCCTGTCCACATGTCAGAACTTCCCTCCTAGACCAGCTGCCAGCCAAGGCTAAGTGCCCTGCTTCAACATACAGTTTTCAGTTTGCATTTCCTCTTCCTAGAATAAGGCTAATATCTTCCCCAATGCGCTCCTCCGCCCAAAGCCATTGGCACACAATATGGGATGTCAGGTTTGATATACGCGGCCCAACATTCAGCGTTAACAGAAGATAGGTAGTGCTGGCTACTGTTATACAATAGCTCAGTCGGATATAATGCTGATATAATTCACATAAAGAACATTTAAAATATATATTCTTATATCTACATGCTTAATAACTGGCAGAAAGCTTGAACTTTGTTGACCCCCCCCCCCCCCTCCCTCCCCCCACCCCAATATAATGACCCATAACCAAAATAGCTACTTACCTACACAAGTTACCCCATCTATGTCCAGTTTATATCCAGGATGGCAAGAACACTGGAAATGTCCCACAGTGTTGGAGCATTTCTGGCTGCAGGGAGAGTTACCTGCCCTGTTACACTCATCCACATCTGAAGTATAGAACCAACAACGTTTACCAAGTGAAAGATGTAGTAGTTTTTTCCTCAGATCAGACAGTTTTCTCTGTGTGAGTTCTGAGGCCCCAATTTTGGGTTTTGGGGTAGAAAGAACCAGCTCACTGCCCCTATAACAAGTATATTGTAGAAGAGAGCAAATTACTTCCTCTGAAGTTGGGGTGCATCTGCCTGAGAGGCTAGGAACCAACAGTCTGCATACAAAAAAGCCATATCTGTAAAATGGGAGATTGTCAGCGTAAGCAAAACATAAGTTGTGGTACAAGACTAAAGGCCCAGAAGTGGAGGTACAACCAGAATAGAATTGTGGATAGTACTCTTGCCTCTCAAGACAACTGTGGTAGGATGTCTGTGTTTGTGTTTGTGTTTGTGTTTGTGTCTGTGTTTGTGTTTGTGTTTTCTCAACAATTCCACCCATCCTGATAAAACTGGGTCATCATCATATCCCTTGCTGACTTGCATGAGGGATTGTGTGTCTCTTTTTGAACTGTAGATTTCATGTGGAAGATTTTTTTTTTCTGTTGTCAACTAATAACGAGAACTGATGACTGATGAACTAATGACTAATGTGTCTCTACATACTGAGAACACCAACAGCATGTATCTGTTTGTTTACTGACACCCTTCCATGCCTTGACCCAAAGCTGTCAAGAATTGTCTTTGCATTGTCTTCATCGATCTCTCTTTCTCAAACAACAAGTTCCACTTTCCCTCTTCCTATAACATACACAATTTTTTTATGTTTTTCATAAGTTTCTGCCCCCTTCCCCGACCTGCCTGTTTCAAAACCTCTGAATTACCCATTCTGGCTGTCCAAGGAATTCTAGCATTTTTTTGTACAACCACATTTCTAAGATGTCTGGGTCATCATCATGTAGCATGTCCTTTGCAGATTGTCCCTCTCATCATGGCTTGCCTGAAACAAACTCGACTCCAGCTCTCCAGCCTCGTGCACTTTCCTACCCAGTATGTCTTTTGTATCCTGTGCCTATCTGCAATGTCTGCACCTCTTTCCTGTTATTTCTGCTATTATTCTGTCCAGTCCACTGTGGTACTTGAAAAACACAACATATTTTATTTTCCGAGACAAGATGCTTTTTACTAGCCAATCTGTTGTGATTTTCAGATCTTTTAGGATGTCAGTATTTTAATAACATGAACGTTCATGTTAATGGTATTATAGGTGAACAAGAATGAAAATTCAAATATCTAGGAAGCATATTTACACAAGATAGCAGTCTTAATCAAGAGAAAGAAGCCAGAGAACAGAAGGAAAATGCTGTCACTTACCAGTTAGTCCCACTGCTTAGACATCCAAATGTCTCCCTTCCAGCAAAACAACAATTGATTATTAGAATTGTTATCCCTAATTTATGCTATCAGTGCCAAACATGTGTAACAGGGAGATGTCACCACTTGTTTGTCAGGAGGTAGGATACTGGGTATTCGTTGAAGGGACTGGAGTCAACAGGTCTTAGTAACCTTGACTTTCCTTTCTAGAACCATCAAGTGCAGAGAGGTATTTGTAAATGAATAACCTAGTTAAATAAATAACATCTGATGTAATCTTTGACATGCCATATCAAAGAACGAGAGCCTTATCGTACTTTTTAGAAGGCCATAGAAGGATACCTGTCGATCCAATTAGTACATTTTAGTGCAGAGTTGTCTGACTGAATCCAAACGCAATTAGAAAATCCCACGAGAGAACGCACAGAGTAAACACGTTTTAGGATACAAGAATATTCTAAAATCAGTGAGTAGAAAACACATTGCACACATACCAGAATATCAGCAGAAATGCTGGGTAACAGGCCACTTGAGCAATCTTCAGTCATCGAGACGGAGTAGGAAGTACTAGTAACATTGACCCTCAAAGAGAACATTCAGTCATCGAGACTTAGAAGCAGAGAAACCAGTCACATGGAGCCCTGAAGACAGACACTAAAGAGGAGACATAAAACAAGACATGAAACTACAGAGTCGACACACAAGAAACATGGATCTATGGTTAACAGAGACACATTAGACAGAAACACTATTGAGACTATTGAGACAACAATCAAACTGTTAGTACCAGACAACACTAGAAGTCAGGTAATTGGAGACAATGTGACCTCAAGAGTAGGTAAACAAAGAGCTAAAACAGTCACCATTCAAAATATCATTGATGTTTGACATTACTGAAGTATCACAATAAAGACAGTGCAGAGAAGAATAGTTGTTTCCAGACATGTTATTATACAAGCGTCAGAGACGTGAGAAGCTTGCAGCAAGCAAGACATCATCACCACTATTGACACGACCATCTTTATCCTCGTCTATTCTCTTTCAGTTGCCTCCTCCTGCAGCAAACTAAAGATGAACCTGGGTGTGACATCAACATACACACAGAAGACAGCTATGCTACACATGGTCATTGGACAAAACACTAAAACAGAAGATAACTACATGTGAAATACGCTGTCTCCATAAGGTTACTAACAACACAAGAATGGACATGGTTACAAATACCAGCATTAGAGAAAAAGTTGGAAAAAGACTGTGTCTTTAATATGCACACATTTCTTCCAGAAATCAAGTTTTCAAAATGTTGTTCACATTTAAAAACAAAAATCAATTCAAAACAAGTATTTTGACATACTGAATGTGTAGATATATTTTACCTTCACATCTGGTCAGGTCAGTTTCATTAATCTTGTAGCCAATGTTGCATCCACACTTGATTTCACCGTTATGAACTTCACAAATGTGTTCACAATGCTGGCAAAGAGTTGAAATGGTAGGATCTGTAAAAAAAAAAAGCAAAAACAAATTATCATTACTGCACCTTTGTCTCTTTTCTCTTCTCCTCTTCCGCCTTCTCTTTTTTCTGTTTTATCATCCTCTTCTTCTCCTCCTTCTTCACTATCTGTATGTGCTAGCTGTGAACCTCAGCAGAAAGTCCTGGCTGTCCATCCATGACTGGACTTTGTGCTTGTTGTAGGATTTAATTCTTGCATACACATCTGGTTTACAGATCTGGCATATGTGTGGGCAGACTAATAGATCCTTACCTCTCGTACAAAATGCATACAAAACACAACTGCTGTGTGAAAGATGAGTGTTTGGAAGGGGCAAATGTAAGACAAGCCTGCGTGCCCAATTTGTGACCCTTTGAAAATCAAGTTTGTCTGTTTGTTTATTCATTTGAGAAAATACACTCTGACTTTAAATTAATCATCATTTCTTGTTATACCGAGTGGCACATGAGGCTTCAGAGAGGACTTTCCATGCTTTCCTGTCTTGTGCAATCTTCAGTGCAGTTTTCCATGTCAAAGATGCTGCACTCAGGTCACTTTCCATCGTTCGTCTCCATGTTGTTTTTGGGCGCCCCTGTTTTCTCTTTCCCTCTGGTGTCCATGTGAGAGCTATTTTGGCAGGTATATCAGAAGTCATTCTCATAATGTGGCCAAGCCATTTCCATCTTCTCTTGGTAATCATACTGTCTAAAGTTTCTTGGTTTGTGGCTTGAAGTAGTTTAGTGTTTGAGATTGTATCTGGCCAGAAAATTTTGATAATTCTGCGTAGACATGTGTGGTGGAAAGTGGACAGCTTGTGTGCATCCTTTTTGGTTATTCTCCAGCATTCCACTCCATAAAGAAGAACTGGCAAAATGATGCTCTTGTAGAGTCGGAGTTTTGTTCCTCTGCAGTAATTGTTGAATTTCCAGATTTGCCTCATCCTTCCAAAAGCAGCTCTAGCTTTGTTCAGACATGACTGTATGTCTTCCTCTGTCCCTCCCAGAAGGGACACCACACTGCCAAGATATGTGAAATGTTCTACATTTTCAAGTAATTGGTTACTTATGGTCACTGGTTGTTGGTTTGGACTGTTTGTCATGATCTTAGTTTTCTTTGTATTTATTCTTAGTCCCACCATTTCTGCTGTGCAGTTTAGTCTGTTACTTTTCTCTTGTATATGTTCATGTTTATGTGATAGGAGTGCTATATCATCTGCAAAATCAAGGTCCTCAAGCATGGTGAATGGAGTCCATCATATGCCTCTTAATATCCTGTCTACTGTGTTCTTTAGTATCTAATCAATCACAAGGTTGAAGAGGAGAGATGACATAACACATCCCTGTCTTACACCTGTTTTTACTGGGAAAGATGTATTGTAATCTTTTATACTGCAGGAAAAGTCTTTATAGTAGAGAGCAATTATGTTGACTATTTTTTTCTGGAATTCCATAATGTAAAATTTTCCATAGACAGTCTCTATGGACACTGTCAAAAGCTTTCTCAAATTAATGACTTTAAATAATTCTGACTTTAAATTACTTTAAAAGAAAACTATACCAACAAATTGGTGACTTCATGACAAGGGAAACTATACCAACAAGTTGGTGACTTTATGGCAAGGGAAACTATACCAACAAATTGGTGACTTCATGGCAAAAGACACTATACCAACAAATTGGTGACTTCACGGCAGGAAGAACTATACCAACAAATGAGTGACTTCATGGCAAGGCAAACTATACCAACAAGTGAGTGACTTCATGTCAAGGCAAACTATACCAACAAGTGAATGACTTCATGGCAAGGCAAACTATACCAACAAGTGAATGACTTCATGGCAAGGCAAACTATACCAACAAGTGAATGACTTCATGGCAAGGCAAATTATACCAACAAGTGAGTGACTTCATGTCAAGGCAAACTATAACAACAAGTGAGTGACTTCATGGCAAGGCAAACTATACCAACAAGTGAGTGACTTCATGTCAAGGCAAACTATACCAACAAGTGAGTGACTTCATGTCAAGGCAAAATATACCAACAAGTGAGTGACTTCATGGCAAGGCAAACTATACCAACAAGTGAGTGACTTCATGGCAAGGCAAACTATACCAACAAGTGAGTGACTTCATGGCAAGGCAAACTATACCAACAAATGAGTGACTTCTTGGCTGTCTCCATGCTTTAGTGATTTAGTCATCTGAAAGCAATTTTATTCAGTAATGACTAAATATATTGAAAAAGAAAAAAATTTGCAGCTAGAAAAATCAGCATACAAACTCTTCATGAGCTACTTATGAGGTGGATGGGGCACATATGGGAATTTCTTGAGTGCAGTGATGTCAGTCATTAGCTGATTGATTGATTGATTCATTCTTACATGCATTTATTCATTTCTTTATTCATTCATTCATATACTGCTCAATATTTTTAAGAATTAATACAATCATGGTAAATGTTGGGATCAACATAAAAATGTATTTGAAGATTTTTTTTAAATTTAGCGCCGTCTCCATAATGGAGGATGGCTATAGTGCATCCACTGTTGTTGTTGAGAATATTACAGGATGAGGCCCAAATCTCTCTCGATGGCAGAACTCTCATACCGTTGACTGATAACTGCAGAAGTAGTGACAACTGATTAATTTTACATTTAAAACACAATTTTGTTTCTCTCTGTGCGTATTCCTCAGCTCAACATAGGAGGTGACTAATGAGGGGTGCTTTCTTTAAAACTGGAGTGCATCTGTTCAAGAGGCAAGAAACCAACAGTCTGCATACAGATAAGCCAGATCTGTAAAATAGATGTGCATGTAAAACTTAAGTTCTGGATCAAGTCTAAAGTTCAGGAGTGGACGAACCCTATAATTTTTTGCTGGTGAGTGCTAAGAAGAAGTAGAAGAAGAAGAGGATGAAGAAGAAGAAGAAGAAAAAGAAGAAGAAAAAGAAGTAACACATTATTTTTACACAACTTTACAAACAACTTTGATTAATCATGGGATTAAAATTGAAATCTTACTAATGTTACATGTCCTCTGATCACTGTTTAGTGTATAGCCCTGTCTGCATGAACAAGAGTAGCTTCCTATGGTGTTTTTGCATTCCTGTGTACACGCTGAAGTTCTCTCTTCACATTCATTGATATCTGTCAGACAGCCGACAAACAACAAAACAAATGATCTGAAAGTTGACATGTTTTATATAGTTTAAAACAGTTTAGACCGAAGGGAGATTTGTGAAATAAAACTCTGGTGCTATAACTTTGACCACAAATAGTCAGACTACCGAGGTCGGGTGGAGCCATTGTGGTGTAGCTGATTGATGCTTGTGGATTTGATGGTGGCCGGTTCAGATCAGGGTGGAGCCGTGGTGGGCCTGACCCCATGAACTTCCGATTCACAGGTGAACTTCTAGCTAGTATACCAATGTGGCTCACAGTTAATGCATGATAGAGACGTTGTGACTACTAAGTTATCATTTGATTTATTTGTTCATAATGTTTTTTTTTAAACTACGAGCACATGTTGTAGTTGGGATCAGTTCAACCTTAAAAAATGTTTCCTGCCTTGAGGGGAATAAAGTTAATATCAATAGGATCAACTTCATTGCACCAGTTTTTCTCCCACATTTCTTGGTCTGTCTTCGTTTTTCTCTCCAGTGCATCCTGGACAAACGAGTCGCTGAGCACATTCAAGTATGGGTGGAAAAAAGCAATGCAAAATAATATTCAAAATGAGAATACGGCCACAAAGATCACCCCTCTGCAATAGCACGCCATCTTCTAAAATTTTGACATGTGGTTACTAAGGACAACACATTTAAAATCCTTCATACGTCAACCAATGGCAGAACGCTAAGATTTCTCAAAGCTTCTGCGATTCGTCACCTGCGCCCAGAACTCTGTATACAGAAAGAGATGCCCTGGTGAAAACAGGCAGTTATGTTTGATCGTGGTTGAATTTGTACTTCATTTATAAAGGATTTACTTATCTGCTTCATTTATATAATTGTTACTGTAGTATGCACTTGACGAGATACAGCGAAATATGCCAGGCAATAAATTGTGCAATCTATTGTTTGTCTTCTTTGTTCAAATTTTATAGAATAGTTCAGTGATAGAAGAAGAAGAAAAAGGAAGAAGAAGAAGAAGGAAGAAGAAGAAGAAGAAGAAGGAAGAAAAAGAAAAAGGAAGAAGACAAGGAAGAAGAAGAAGGAAGAAGAAGAAGGAAGAAGAGGAAGAAGAAGAAGGAAGGAGAAGAAGAAGAAGGAAGAAGGAAGGAGGAAGGAAGGAAGGAAGGAAGGAAGAAGGAAGGCGGAGGACGAAGAAGAAGGAAGGAAGGAAGGAAGGAAGGAAGAAGGAAGGAAGGAAGGAAGGAAGGAAGGAAGGAAGGAAGGAAGGAAGGAAGGAAGGAAGGAAGGAAGGAAGGAAGGAATGCAGGAAAGGAAGGAAGGAAGGAAGGAATGAAGGAAGGAAGGAAGGAAGGAAGGACAGGGAAGGAAGGAAGGAAGGAAGGAAGGAAGGAAGGAAGCCGGAAGGAAGGGAAGGAAGGAAGGAAGGAAAGGAAGGCTGGAAGGAAGGAAGGAAGGAAGGAATGAGGAAGGAAGGAAGGAAGGAAGGAAGGAAGGAAGGATAGTAAGGAAGGCAGGGAAGGAAGGAAGGAAGGAAGGAAGGAAGGCAAATTGAAGGAAGGAAGGAAGGAAGGAAGGAAGGAAGGAAGGAAGGAAGGAAGGAGGAAGGAAGGAGGAAGGAAGGAAGGAATGGAAGGAAGGAAGGAAGGAAGGAAGGAAGGAAGGACGGAAGGAAGGAAGGAAGGAAGGAAGGAAGGAAGGAAGGAAGCGAAGGAAGGAAGGAAGGAAGGAAGGAAGAAGGAAGGAAGGAAGGAAGGAAGGAAGAAGGAAGGAAGGAAGAAGGAAGGAAGAAGGAAGGAAGGAAGAAGGAAGGAAGGAAGGAAGGAAGGAAGGAAGGAAGTAAGGAAGGAAGGAAGGAAGGAAGGAAGGAAGGAAGGAAGGAAGGAAGGAAGGAAGGAAGGAAGGAAGGAAGGAAGGAAGGAAGGAAGGAAGGAAGGAAGGAAGGAAGGAAGGCAGGTAGGAAGGAAGGTAGGGAGGGAGTGAAGGAAAGAAGAAGAAGAAGAAGATTATTCCGTGATTAGTGCTGAAGAAGAAGAAGAAGATAATTGAGTTGAGTTGACTTAAGTTTCACAAACCGACATCACAACACTCTGTACATTTCCAGAAGCACTTCAGCACAATCTTTAGCAGCCAACAAAGGGTTCCAGCACTGATGCTACCAGTAGTGTATGTCCATCTTGACTTTCTTGTGAGTGTGGAGTGATGACCAGATCCCCTAACCACTTCCTGTTGCACTATTCTCTTTAGATCAATTGTGCCTCCACACTGTTGACTAGCTCCCAAACGTCTTTGACATCATCTAGTTTGTCATGCCTCAAATTACCATCAACCAACTGGTGCACAACCAGCCAGTATGTCTGCCTGTTCCTTTATCAAGATACCTGTATAACCCTAAACAAAATATGTATATGATGCTAACTACCCAGGACCTCTGAAGTGATTCTTGCTACTCTTGCCACTTGCCACTATAGGATAGCTTATGAGCTACTGTTTGAACAAAGAAGACACAAACAATAGATTGAACAATTTATTGCCTGGTGTATTTAGCTGTATCTCATCAGGTGCATACTACAGTAACAATTGATTAAAATGAAGCAAATAAATGAATCCTTTGAACTGAAACACAAAATCAACTTAACTCAAAAACGTGTCTTTTTACCAGGTTAAACACAAGATAAAGTGCATGTTCTTTTGTCTGCATAATTCTGGACTAAACCAGTTTAAAGTGGTCACTTCTAAAAATCTCGAAAAATCTACAGTTTGCTGAAGTGTAATAAACAGTTTTTTGAATTTAATCGATTGTTTCAGTTCGAAGGATTCATTTATGTGCTTCAATTTTATTAATTGTTACAATGCACCTGGCAAGATACAGCGAAATATGCCAGGCAATAAATTGTGCAGTCTATTGTTTGTATCTTCTTTGTTCAACTTCACATTGGGGAAATATTGCTTTGATACCATTTGCTGGCTTACATTTTGGGGTAATGATTACTATTATTGATATTGTTGCTAAGCCTACCTCTACACTAATACCTTGTCCATGGTTTAGGTGCTCTAAGCCCAGAAGGTATAATGTCAAGCATATCTTTCTCTAAACAGATTTACTATGTCATATTATTTTAAGTTTAATTTTAGTATTTTTGTATGTTTAGTCTACTTTATTTTATTTCCCCTTAATTATTGATTCTATTTCTTATCAGTACCAGTTATGGATCTTAACATCTGTATTTTTACTATGCTCACATTCCTACTACTTGTGATTCCTACTGTTGTTTTTATTTTATATGATCATTTTTACTTTTATGACTATTGTTCGAGCCTTTCTTTATTCTATTTAATTTGTATTTATTCCTGATCATCATTTTTTTTAGCTTCCCACTTAACCCCCTTGTGGGCCATCATGGATGGAGTACTCTCCCCTTTTTTTATAATTGTGTAGTTAGTTCATGTCAAGAAAGGCCCTGGCTAAAAGATTGATTTGTATGTTTTGCTTCCCCATCTCGTTTAGCTTTTCAGTTGCCTTTCACTGGATTAATCCATACTACTAAGATTTGTATGTTTTGCACTCATTGCTCTGCTTCCCCATCTCGTTTAGCTTTTCAGTCGCCTTTCACAGGATTAATCCATACTACTAAGATTTGTATGTTTTGCACTCATTGCTCTGCTTCCCCATCTCGTTTAGCTTTTCAGTCGCCTTTCACTGGATTAATCCATACTACTAAGATTTGTATGTTTTGCACTCATTGCTCTGCTTCCCCATCTCGTTTAGCTTTTCAGTCGCCTTTCACTGGATTAATCCATACTACTAAGATTTGTATGTTTTGCACTCATTGCTCTGCTTCCCCATCTCGTTTAGCTTTTCAGTCACCTTTCACTGGATTAATCCATACTACTAAGATTTGTATGTTTTGCACTCATTGCTCAACTTCCCCATCTCGTTTAGCTTTTCAGTCACCTTTCACTGGATTAATCCATACTACTAAGATTTGTATGTTTTGCACTCATTGCTCTGCTTCCCCATCTCGTTTAGCTTTTCAGTCACCTTTCACTGGATTAATCCATACTACTAAGATTTGTATGTTTTGCACTCATTGCTCTGCTTCCCCATCTCGTTTAGCTTTTCAGTCACCTTTCACTGGATTAATCCATACTACTAAGATTTGTATGTTTTGCACTCATTGCTCTGCTTCCCCATCTCGTTTAGCTTTTCAGTCAGCTTTCACTGGATTAATCCATACTACTAATGGACAACAGTCATTGTTTTGATATACTTCCCTTATAACAACAATATTAGGCACAATAAATGACTGGAATTTATTACCAAGGCAAGTTCTGCCGCCTGTTTGATTCAGCCTAAAGCCAGGTCTGCAGGAACAAGTGTAGGATCTGTATGTGTTCAGGCACTCATGATCGCATACATTTCCGTCAAGACATTCATCCAAATCTGGCAGAGAAAATTAAATGTAAACATCATTAGAACTTTTTCAGTCCTAACCAGTTCATAGTCTGTAATAGGATCCTCCCTGTGGCAATATCTAGTCATACCCTTGTGGGATGCAATTGTTTGTTATTTTAGAGCCAAATCCTGGCTCTTGCCAGGGACTGCAATATAGCCAGGCCATAAATATGGTCTAATGGCTGAACACGGTTTTCAGGACCTCTCCACGAGTGATCCTCATCCACACCGTGGCACTTTGTGTGATCAGGTGTTATCGCTTGTGTGATGTCCTTGTGGGGTAAAATGAACTACTACTACTACTATCCTCCCTGTGACTGTGATGACCCTGCTTTGTGTGGTGTGGCGCATGCTCACAGCAAGATAAGCAGAAAACCCATCAGTATCAAATACTCGGGACTGTAGAGATGGACCAGGGAAACCCAGAGATTGGTTTTTGGTTAGTTGGGTACCAGAGTTTGAGGAAGACGGTTGTGATGTACTTTTACTGAAAATTATCAAATGTCATGTGAATAATTACTGTGGAATTATTGTGAAGCGAGCAGCGATGTGACTGAGAAGTGTGAGAATTGGAATGAATAAACTGGCAGAACCTGAGCTCTGTTCTGTGTCCTTAACTGTAGATAGCTGTGTTTGTTCCCAGGTTAGTACCTGTACACGTTTGCAACAAGGTCACATAGAGTAAGGTTCTTGAATGTTGAATACTAGATTAGGAATTGACATCATAGCAATTGGGACAACTTCATAAGCGTTCTGTCCCCATCTTCAGCAGCAAATGAAGAGTTACAATTTCAATGGCACCAGTAACTTTCTGATATCTGTCTTGCCCTTTCCTTGAGTGTTGAGTGACGGCCAGATCCCCTGGTAACTCCTCGCAACGCCATTCTTCTCACTGTTCCTTTGCTCTCAGAGGTCACTCACAACGTCTAGCTTGTCACACATCAATTCACCACCAAGTTGTGCAGAACACACCAGTTTATCAGTATGTTCATTTCCTAGAAAGTAATGGTGCTAGCAAAAATGTGAAAAACCTAGAGTGGAAGGAGGAAAGAATATAGACGCACTGGAAGCAACAGCATTAAATAATGTATTTTCCTATAGTTTAAATTTGGTCAGAGTATGTTAAGAAAATCTGGCTACCTCAGCAGTCATGTCCACAAAGTTTAGCATTCATAATATTTCTCCATTTTGGCATTTACTACCAAATCCTCTGGTCATCATCATCATGTGCCAAGCTATAAAGCATATTCTGTCATGTTTCACCATCTCACATGATCACCAGAATCATGGATCATGTCAATGTTTATGACATCTCAAGTCGTTAAGTTAGTGGCTTTTTTCAGGCATCTCATTTCCCAGGTGTTAATTGTATGTTGATAATGTCCAAGTCTCGCTCTGGTAGCACAGTGTTGGTATGAATATGCTGTTTATAATCTGTTTCTTGGCGCTCATACTTATGTTTGGATGTCTTAATAACGGTTTCAGTTGGAATATAAGTGCACTGGCATCATCCCCTCTTATGTAAAGTAAAGATCCCCTTTCACGCCTTAGGCACATTGGGCATATGGGAAGAGCACCCATATTTTGAACAGACCAATCAGCACTAGGTGGGTAATGTGGTCAGCATTAGGCCAGCCGTCTTTTCTTCCTTATCATGGTACCCATTTCAAGCTTGGTTGACCTGCGACGCCACATACCATGATAACAATCCACGCAGCCAGCAGTGGGTTTCGATCATGGCACATTGAAATTACGAGTTGGACTCACCATGCCTAAGCCACAGATGCCACTCATCCCATCCTGTACTGTCCTAAAACCTGGTACAACTACAAGGAGTAAAGACAATGTATTACCGTCACATGATCCATTCACATTGACTGTGCCGGCTGGGCATGGCCCACACACAAAGCCCACAGGGCTGTCTCCTTGGGCTGCTGCTGTCAGATCAGTGCAGCTTTGTCCCGCAGCACAAGGCAGTAATGTACAAGCATCCAGTTCAGACTCACAGTTTTCCCCTGATATTTGACAGAAGCAAGTCATTATGAAAGAGAAGCAAAGAGAAAGATTAAATAGCGAAGTAACAAATAATGTAAGTAGCATCTTCTTCTTCTTCTTCTTCAGTCCCTTTTTACAGCTTCAGGTGTCGAGGGAGATATAAGGTTCTATTTCTTGCTCTTATGGCCACATTGACCATAGACACACCATGCTCTTGTAGAGTTTCTTTGACATTATCTTTCCATTTTGTTCTTGGTCTACCTCATGCTCTGCATCATTCTCCTAATTTAGCATACACCTTGTGTGGTATGGCATCAGAAAGCTTTCTCTTGAAATGGACAAACCATTTGATTTGCTGACTGTGAATTAATGTACAATTGGTTCAATGCTGATATTCTCTCTTATGAACTAACTTCTGACTGCATGTTTTCCGGTCACTCGTGCAACCCTTCTCAGAAATCTACTGCTCATGATAAGTAGCAATAACTTCAATAAAATGTCAGAAAACTAAGCAGATAGCACCCCCCCCCCCCCCCCCCCAAAAAAAAAAGTTCCTCCTTGTCATTCTCAGTCTCCTCACACTTCATTATCTTTACCTATTCTTTTTCTTGCATTAGCAGAGTGTGTTTTCATGTGTGTATGTATATGTGATGTGTGTGTATGTGTGTGTGTGTGTTTGTATGTATGTTTGTGATTGTATGTTTGTGTGTGTGTGTGTGTATTTGTATTTGTATGTGTGCGGATGCGTGTGTATGTGAGTTTGTGTATATATTTGTGGTGTGTGTGTAGGTGCATGTATATGTGTGTATGTGTGTGTTTGTGTGTGTGTTTGTGTGTATGTGTGTGTGTATGTATGTGTGTGTGTATGTGTGTGTGTGAGCATGTGGAAGCCTCCATATGCTTGTTTTGTGTGTGCATGTTTGCGTGTGTGTGTTTTTTTTATATAAAGAGATTCTGTTTGCAGATGCCATTTGCCGTGAGAAAGAGAGTGCTAAAGTCATCATCATCAGTTTCCACTTCTGCCATCAAGAGTTGTGGGAAGGAACAGTTTGTGATCCCTCACTTGATGGGTAGCAATGGACATTATCATTCCGTTTTGATATGGAAGCTCTTTAATAAGTGCTAAAGGGCTAGATGGTATCTGTACTGCGCTGAATGCACATGCCACATAGGCAGACAAGCTGAGACTCTTATGATGTCAGTGAACATCTAATTTCTAGGGGAAAATATACAGAATTTTGTAGACAGATGAATCAGGTGGTCTTTCAAGAAATATATTTTTCTTTGTCCCCTTCATCATCATCATCAATCAGCAACTCCTTTACAAAAGGTCGCCTAAAGATCTCTCTTTCTCTAGCCAATTCTCCAACCCTGTGTGCTTTCACAGCTAATGCATCTTCAATGTCTTTTATCCACATTTGCTGAGGTCTGCCTCTGCTTCGTTTTTGGAAACTGTACCCTCCATCATGGTTCTATCCAGACCACCACGGCACATGACATGTCTAAATATATCCAGACCACCACGGCTCATGACATGTCTAAATATATCCAGACCACCACGGCACATGACATGTCTAAATATATCCAGACCACCACGGCTCATGACATGTCTAAATATATCCAGACCACCACGGCACATGACATGTCTAAATATATCCAGGCCACCACAGCACATGACATGTCTAAATATATCCAGACCACCACGGCAAATGACATGTCTAAATATATCCAGACCACCACGGCACATGACATGTCTAAATATATCCAGACCACCACGGCACATGACATGTCTAAATATATCCAGACCACCACGGCACATGACATGTCTAAATATATCCAGACCACCACGGCACATGACATGTCTAAAATATATCCAGACCACCACGGCACATGACATGTCTAAATATATCCAGACCACCACGGCACATGACATGTCTAAATATATCCAGACTACCACGGCACATGACATGTCTAAATATATCCAGACCACCACGGCACATGACATGTCTAAATATATCCAGGGACCACCACGGCACATGACATGTCTAAATATATCCAGACCACCACGGCTCATGACATGTCTAAATATATCACCCCCCACGACCACCACGGCACATGACATGTCTAAATATATCCAGACCACCACGGCACATGACATGTCTAAATATATCCAGACCACCACGGCTCATGACATGTCTAAATATATCCAGACCACCACGGCACATGACATGTCTAAATATATCCAGACCACCACGGCACATGACATGTCTAAATATATCCAGACCACCACGGCACATGACATGTCTAAATATATCCAGACCACCACGGCACATGACATGTCTAAATATATCCAGACCACCACGGCACATGACATGTCTAAATATATCCAGACCACCACGGCACATGACATGTCTAAATATATCCAGACCACCACGGCTCATGACATGTCTAAATATATCCAGACCACCACGGCACATGACATGTCTAAATATATCCAGACCACCACGGCACATGACATGTCTAAATATATCCAGACCACCACGGCTCATGACATGTCTAAATACATCCAGACCACCACAGCACATGACATGTCTAAATATATCAGGTTTCGGGAGAGGATGCTGTTTATGAGCCAGTTCTTCTTGATGCTCAGGTGATGCAGGATGACGATGTTTTCCTTTTCTTGGTCCAAGGTATTTTAAGAACCTTTCTTTAGCATTTCAGATCAAAAGCTCCAGTTTTCTTCTCCAAAGACTGCTTCTTTTCAAGATCATTTTAATTGCACATTGGGCACACCCATAACTGCTCTGATCCTTTCCTTAGCATTTTTTCTTAGTGTTTTTAGATTTGTTTGTTGGGGGGGGGGGGTGAGTGGGTAGGTGGATGGATGTGTGTTTGTATGTGTGTGCATGTGTGTATGTGTGAGAGAGATACAGAGAGAAAGAAAGATTTGATTTGATTCAAGAATCGACATCACAGCACTCGGGGAATTTCCATAAGCCCTCTGTCCCCTTCTTCAGCAGCCAGTGCAGAGTTCCGATACTGATGGTGCCAGTAGCATTCTAATTAAATGCCCGTCTTGCCTTTTCTCTAGCCTCGAGCATCTGCTGGAACCTCTCGTCACTTACCCCTGCTTCAATCTCACCAGACTGTGGTGATCCATCTGCTCCTATGAACTGTACTCGCTCTCCCACAATGCACTAATCACGTCTGCCTTATCATGTATCAGTATTCCACCAAGTTGTGCAGAGCCAGCCAGTCTGTCTGCCTATTTATTTCCCAAGACACCGGCGTACCTTGGTGAAAAAATCCAGACAATATTCCTCACCCATATCCTCCGCAGCGAAGCATGCTTTCTGAGTCAGTTACAATGACAATGTGTGTGTGTCATTTTCTCAAACCAGCGGAAAGCTGCAGTAGAGAGAAAGAAAGAGAGAGAGAGAGAGAGAGAGAGAGAGAGAGAGAGAGAGAGAGAGAGAGAGAGAGAGAGAGAGAGAGAGAGAGAGAGAGAGAGAGAGAGAGAGAGAGAGAGAGAGAGAGAGAGAGATAAACTCTCAAGAAGGCACACACCTGGAATCTTAACAAAGTTCTCTGGAAGAAGATGGCTCTTTCCACGAATTATTTGACAGGATTCAGTTTTATTTTGTTTTATATGTTTGTGTAAATGTGTAGTATACATCAGATGAGAAACTAAAACAAATATCTTTTTTTTAAAGTCCATGCTATGTGGCATTGGTAGTCATAAAAGTACACAACCTTCTGTCTCACATACTTTCAATCAACTCTGATACAGATGATCCTCCATGCCATGATGACAGACTGTCCATCATCTTCTCTCTCTGTCTCCCTCTGCCTCTTCTCCCCTTCAACTTTCCTACCGTCACGATGTGCTCAAGTTTTCTCCTTCTCATCAGATGACTAAAGAATATAGATCGTCTCTTTCTAATGTGGGCTATCAATTCTCGCCGTGAGTCAGTTTCTTTCAATATGTCCCAATTACTCTTTTTATCTGGCCAGTGTATTCTCATCATTCATCTTTAAAATCACATCTTCGAAGCTTCCAAATAAGTTTTCACTAATTTACCTTGTCCTGTAACTGTCCATGATTCACTTCCGTACATCTAGATAGGATTTATGTAGTTTTTAAGAATTATTTTTCTCCTCTTAATTGATGTTTTCCAATTTCACATTTAACTTTCCAATGACTAATATCTCATTCTTTAGTGTCAATCTAAAGACAGAAATAGTTCCAGTAAAACAAATCAGCAGAGACACAAACCAAACCTGTGTAGGCAGGGTCACAGTGGCATTTCAAAACCTGGTACAGTCCTTCCTGGCGTATGATGTGAGACTCATTGATGCCACAATTACCATGGCCATTGCAGGCTGGGCATACAACTACAGTCACTTTCAGAATCGGAGAATATGCTCCTTGGGAATCTCTGGCTCGAATGCTGAAAGATACATGAGGACTGTTGTTTAGAGTAAAAGTTTAAAAATATTGTAATATTTTAAAAGATAAGAAGAAAGAAATTAGTGATTAGTAACGACTAGTATTACATCGCCATATTAAGTGCTATGATGGTTTGCAACAACAACAAAAGTTATAACTGAAGGCATAGTACGAGGAAAGAGAGGTAGGGGCTGATTAGTAGGAAGATGGGCACAGGATAATTGATACTTTGGGTGGGAAAGTGCATGGGGTGGGAGAGCTGGCACGATACTAAGTTTATTTCAGGCAGACTGCGATGAGAATGACATTCTGCAAAAGATCTACTATATGAAGATGATCCTTATAGTATTCAGAACAAATCCATAAATTGTGTTATCATATCAATAGTTATCTAAGCAAAACAAAATGACCGATCATGTTCATTATATGGTATTTAACCTAAAATCTCTTGTGCTGTTATAGAAAGAAATACAACAGTTTAATTTTCATGAGTGGTGCGGTGATTTCGGCCACAGGCGTGAGGGAATGTTAAGGTCATGTGCTGTGTATTAAAGGATACACAATACCATACCTCATGCGCCAGCTTGGTCTGTGCTGCTTTTTACTAGGCCTTTTTCAAGAATCCTGCCACACATCCTCATCATGCATCACAGATAATAATCTGTATTTGCCTAAACAAAGCCACAAGCTATCTCAAAGCATGTCAGCTCCCATAAAAACAGAAATCAGAAAATCTCTAGCACTCACAAGCCCACCCCTAATGTGTGGATCATAATGTCTATTGAGAACTCATTGTCATCTTCTTCTTCTGCTTTTCTAAACACCGGTGGAGCATAGGCTTTAACCAACTCACACCAAGTTGATCTATCCTTTGCTTTTGAGTGTCACAGGAGCCATCACAGGAAGCAAAGAACACTGCACCCTACTAGGCATGTTGTAATAGGGGACTAAGGATAGGGTTTGACTTGAGGTTGGCTACCTCATCCTGTAAAAACAAAAGCCAACCAACCATGGAAAAGTCACAAAGAGAACTCAATGTAAAATGAGTTAAGTACCTGGACTGAGCCTCCATCTAAATGACAAACAGTGGTTCACATGTCTTTCAATCACGAGTAGCCCTTTGGGAACAAGCAACGGATTCAGTAGAGAAAGAAGATTTATGGCCTGGAGAGAATGAGGTACCTGTGTGTAACCAGTGGGTCTGGCCGGCTGACTACACTCAAAGGAAAGGCAAAATTGGCATATAACCAGATTGTGACTGGTATCATTAGTATTGGAACTCTGTGTTAGTTGCTGAAGATAAGGATGGAGGACACATGCGAATGCCGGGGGAGACTCTCGGCGGCAAGTTTAACTCGGCGGTTTGTTCCATGTCTCGACATTGTCAACAGACACTAATCCTAGTTTTCCTGCAACGTGCTCATGACCGCAATTGCGCAATTGACACGTGACTGAGGCTCGTCAGGATATTTTGCGGCCACCATCTTTGGTGCCCGTTATTTAGAGGATAGCCAATGTTTCTGTATTAATCTTCTAAAACCAGTCATGTCAAATGTGACAATAGGAAATGTTTGTTAGGGATCTCTAAATATGTAGATACAAGCGAACAGGCCTGTGAACAGACAGTAGCACAACTGGGGTAGTGTCTCAGGCATGGATATGTAATTAGTTCATTATAGCTTTTCGCCTTTTCTGCACAAAGCCATATGAAAAAAACTGGATAGTTATTATTATTATCATCATTATGACAATGTTATTGAAGTGACAATGCTAACGTTCATTTATAATATATATTAAAACAACAAGTTAGAAAAATGTGTATTTAAATTAAAAGTGAGTATTATTTAATCATTACAAAAGATTTTAGGACTTTTACATTATAATGGTTTACAACACTGTTTAATTTATATTACCATAGGCTAGTGCCTAGAGGGGCCTAGGCGTAACAGTCTTAGAGTGTTTTAAATTTACACACTGACAGTTTTCTAAATTGTAATGTTAATAATCTTCCCACACTTGGCTTGGGGGACTGGCTCGGGGGACTGGCTTAGGGGACTGGCTTGGGGGACTGGCTTGGGGGACTGGCTCGGGGGACTGGCTTGGGGGACTGGCTTGGGGGACTGGCTCGGGGGACTGGATTGGGGGACTAGCTCGGGGGACTGGCTTGGGGGACTGGCTCGGGGGACTGGCTCGGGGGACTGGCTCGGGGGACTTGGCTTGGGGGACTGGCCCGCGTCGATCTCTATTTTTAACATTTAGGCCCCTGAGTAAACTTAGTTGAATAGCCCTGATATAAAAGATTTAAAACTGGCTACAAAGGCCAATCTAAAGTTTAAACATTTTTTGGAAGCTGGACCACATCTGCTGGTAAGGCAAGGAACCAACAGTCTGCAAAAAATAAGCCACCAGTAAAACAGATGTGCATACAATATCAAGTAATGGAATAAGGCCAGTGTCTAGAACTGAATGAGCAATCCATAATTTTACAGCTGGTTAAAGCTAACAAACCACAGAAGAAAGTAACATCCATGAGAATGGGCCATTCTAAATAAAGTGAATCACTGCAACTTTCTTGAAACAGTTATATTATCTTATGCAGAATGCTTTGTAGAGATTAGAGCATGAATCAACATGATACAATTAAGCTTAAGCAAGATGTAAAACCTTTTCATCAGTATGCTGAATCTTGAATTAGGAATCGACATCACAGCACTCAGAACACCCCCCCCCCCTTTTTTCCACCTTAGTGCTCCATCCCCATCTTCAACAGCAAGTGAAGAGTTAAAATTACGAAGGTACCAGTAACTGTCTAACTGTAACCAGTAACTGTCTAACTGTAACCAGTAACTGTCTAACTGTAACCAGTAACTGTCTAACTGTAACCAGTAACTGTCTAACTGTAACCAGTAACTGTCTAACTGTAACCAGTAACTGTCTAAATGTAACCATTAACTGTCTAACTGTAACCAGTAACTGTCTAACTGTAACCAGTAACTGTCTAACTGTAACCAGTAACTGTCTAACTGTAACCAGTAACTGTCTAACTGTAACCAGTAACTGTCTAAATGTAACCAGTAACTGTCTAACTGTAACCAGTAACTGTCTAACTGTAACCAGTAACTGTCTAACTGTAACCAGTAACTGTCTAACTGTAGCCAGTAACTGTCTAACTGTAACCAGTAACTGTCTAACTGTAACCAGTAACTGTCTAACTGTAGCCAGTAACTGTCTAACTGTAGCCAGTAACTGTCTAACTGTAGCCAGTAAACTGTCTAACTGTAACCAGTAACTGTCTAACTGTAACCAGTAACTGTCTAACTGTAGCCAGTAACTGTCTAACTGTAGCCAGTAACTGTCTAACTGTAGCCAGTAACTGTCTAACTGTAACCAGTAACTGTCTAACTGTAACCAGTAACTGTCTAACTGTAACCAGTAACTGTCTAACTGTAACCAGTAACTGTCTAACTGTAACCAGTAACTGTCTAACTGTAACCAGTAACTGTCTAACTGTAACCAGTAACTGTCTAACTGTAACCAGTAACTGTCTAACTGTAACCAGTAACTGTCTAACTGTAAACCAGTAACTGTCTAACTGTAACCAGTAACTGTCTAACTGTAACCAGTAACTGTCTAACTGTAACCAGTAACTGTCTAACTGTAACCAGTAACTGTCTAACTGTAACCAGTATTACTGTCTAACTGTAACCAGTAACTGTCTAACTGTAACCAGTAACTGTCTAACTGTAACCAGTAACTGTCTAACTGTAACCAGTAACTGTCTAACTGTAACCAGTAACTGTCTAACTGTAGCCAGTAACTGTCTAACTGTAGCCAGTAACTGTCTAACTGTAACCAGTAACTGTCTAACTGTAGCCAGTAACTGTCTAACTGTAGCCAGTAACTGTCTAACTGTAGCCAGTAACTGTCTAACTGTAGCCAGTAACTGTCTAACTGTAACCAGTAACTGTCTAACTGTAGCCAGTAACTGTCTAACTGTAGCCAGTAACTGTCTAACTGTAGCCAGTAACTGTCTAACTGTAGCCAGTAACTGTCTAACTGTAGCCAGTAACTGTCTAACTGTAACCAGTAACTGTCTAACTGTAGCCAGTAACTGTCTAACTGTAACCAGTAACTGTCTAACTGTAACCAGTAACTGTCTAACTGTAACCAGTAACTGTCTAACTGTAACCAGTAACTGTCTAACTGTAGCCAGTAACTGTCTAACTGTAGCCAGTAACTGTCTAACTGTAGCCAGTAACTGTCTAACTGTAGCCAGTAACTGTCTAACTGTAACCAGTAACTGTCTAACTGTAGCCAGTAACTGTCTAACTGTAACCAGTAACTGTCTAACTGTAACCAGTAACTGTCTAACTGTAACCAGTAACTGTCTAACTGTAACCAGTAACTGTCTAACTGTAGCCAGTAACTGTCTAACTGTAGCCAGTAACTGTCTAACTGTAGCCAGTAACTGTCTAACTGTAACCAGTAACTGTCTAACTGTAACCAGTAACTGTCTAACTGTAACCAGTAACTGTCTAACTGTAACCAGTAACTGTCTAACTGTAACCAGTAACTGTCTAACTGTAACCAGTAACTGTCTAACTGTAACCAGTAACTGTCTAACTGTAACCAGTAACTGTCTAACTGTAACCAGTAACTGTCTAACTGTAACCAGTAACTGTCTAACTGTAGCCAGTAACTGTCTAACTGTAACCAGTAACTGTCTAACTGTAACCAGTAACTGTCTAAACTGTAACCAGTAACTGTCTAACTGTAACCAGTAACTGTCTAACTGTAGCCAGTAACTGTCTAACTGTAGCCAGTAACTGTCTAACTGTAGCCAGTAACTGTCTAACTGTAGCCAGTAACTGTCTAACTGTAACCAGTAACTGTCTAACTGTAACCAGTAACTGTCTAACTGTAACCAGTAACTGTCTAACTGTAACCAGTAACTGTCTAACTGTAACCAGTAACTGTCTAACTGTAGCCAGTAACTGTCTAACTGTAGCCAGTAACTGTCTAACTGTAGCCAGTAACTGTCTAACTGTAACCAGTAACTGTCTAACTGTAACCAGTAACTGTCTAACTGTAGCCAGTAACTGTCTAACTGTAGCCAGTAACTGTCTAACTGTAGCCAGTAACTGTCTAACTGTAGCCAGTAACTGTCTAACTGTAACCAGTAACTGTCTAACTGTAACCAGTAACTGTCTAACTGTAACCAGTAACTGTCTAACTGTAACCAGTAACTGTCTGACTGTAACCAGTAACTGTCTGACTGTAACCAGTAACTGTCTAACTGTAACCAGTAACTGTCTAACTGTAACCAGTAACTGTCTAACTGTAACCAGTAACTGTCTAACTGTAACCAGTAACTGTCTAACTGTAACCAGTAACTGTCTAACTGTAACCAGTAACTGTCTAACTGTAACCAGTAACTGTCTAACTGTAGCCAGTAACTGTCTAACTGTAGCCAGTAACTGTCTAACTGTAGCCAGTAACTGTCTAACTGTAGCCAGTAACTGTCTAACTGTAGCCAGTAACTGTCTAACTGTAACCAGTAACTGTCTAACTGTAACCAGTAACTGTCTAACTGTAGCCAGTAACTGTCTAACTGTAACCAGTAACTGTCTAACTGTAACCAGTAACTGTCTAACTGTAACCAGTAACTGTCTAACTGTAGCCAGTAACTGTCTAACTGTAACCAGTAACTGTCTAACTGTAGCCAGTAACTGTCTAACTGTAACCAGTAACTGTCTAAACTGTAACCAGTAACTGTCTAACTGTAACCAGTAACTGTCTAACTGTAGCCAGTAACTGTCTAACTGTAACCAGTAACTGTCTAACTGTAACCAGTAACTGTCTAACTGTAGCCAGTAACTGTCTAACTGTAACCAGTAACTGTCTAACTGTAACCAGTAACTGTCTAACTGTAACCAGTAACTGTCTAACTGTAACCAGTAACTGTCTAACTGTAACCAGTAACTGTCTAACTGTAACCAGTAACTGTCTAACTGTAACCAGTAACTGTCTAACTGTAACCAGTAACTGTCTAACTGTAACCAGTAACTGTCTAACTGTAACCAGTAACTGTCTAACTGTAACCAGTAACTGTCTAACTGTAACCAGTAACTGTCTAACTGTAACCAGTAACTGTCTAACTGTAACCAGTAACTGTCTAACTGTAACCAGTAACTGTCTAACTGTAACCAGTAACTGTCTGACTGTAACCAGTAACTGTCTAACTGTAACCAGTAACTGTCTAACTGTAGCCAGTAACTGTCTGACTGTAGCCAGTAACTGTCTAACTGTAACCAGTAACTGTCTAACTGTAACCAGTAACTGTCTAACTGTAACCAGTAACTGTCTAACTGTAGCCAGTAACTGTCTGACTGTAGCCAGTAACTGTCTGACTGTAACCAGTAACTGTCTAACTGTAACCAGTAACTGTCTAACTGTAACCAGTAACTGTCTAACTGTAACCAGTAACTGTCTAACTGTAACCAGTAACTGTCTAACTGTAACCAGTAACTGTCTAACTGTAACCAGTAAAACTGTCTAACTGTAACCAGTAACTGTCTAACTGTAACCAGTAACTGTCTAACTGTAACCAGTAACTGTCTAACTGTAACCAGTAACTGTCTAACTGTAACCAGTAACTGTCTAACTGTAACCAGTAACTGTCTAACTGTAACCAGTAACTGTCTAACTGTAGCCAGTAACTGTCTAACTGTAACCAGTAACTGTCTAACTGTAGCCAGTAACTGTCTAACTGTAACCAGTAACTGTCTAACTGTAGCCAGTAACTGTCTAACTGTAACCAGTAACTGTCTAACTGTAACCAGTAACTGTCTAACTGTAACCAGTAACTGTCTAACTGTAACCAGTAACTGTCTAACTGTAACCAGTAACTGTCTAACTGTAACCAGTAACTGTCTGACTGTAACCAGTAACTGTCTGACTGTAACCAATAACTGTCTGACTGTAACCAGTAACTGTCTAACTGTAACCAGTAACTGTCTAACTGTAACCAATAACTGTCTAACTGTATCTCTGTCTCGCCTTTCCTCGAGTGTTGAGAATCAGCCAGTTAGTTAGTTAGTTATTTAGTTAGTTGGGTTATCCTCATTGCACTCCGGACATGTCCATAGGTGCTCAGATCCTCCCCTCAGTATGAACCCCAACGTCCGATGGCTAATAGTACCAGTTCTATGTTGATTAACAAGTCTTCTGGCGTAGCTGGTGTGCGTCTCGTTTTTTGCTGTGCCGATCTTAATTCCCAAGTCTGCCATTCTGGCGAGTGATGTGGATTCACTGCCACCAAAGTCGTCTATCCTTCCTATTTCTCTGAGGGCATTGATAATATCAGCATGATCCATAGGCTGACCGTCGGTAGTGATAGCGGATCCAGCCAACCTGTCAGCTCTTTCATTTCCATCGACGCCTGCGTGTCCCGGAACAAAAATAAAGGTGACTCCACGGACAGTGGACTTCTGTAATGATTCAAGCCATTGTCTTCGCACTGAACCTGCCTGAACCCTCCGGATCATACTCATTGAATTGAGAATCAGCCAGATCCCATTGTAACTCCTCACAGTGCCATTCTCTTAAGACCGTAATGATCTAGCTGTGCTTTGGCACTATTCACTCGCTCCTAAAGGGCCCTCACAATATCCAGCTTGTCATACATCAGTTCACCCCCAAGTGGCACAAAACCGACCAGTCTATCTACCTGCTCATTTCCCAACACACTGGCATGATCTGGAGAAAAATATCCAAAGGATTCTAACTACTCTGGACCTTTTAAGTGATGCTTGCCACTCTGCATGGAGCATGCCTGTCTCCACCTTTTTCAACATGCTCTGTGAGTCAGTTAATATTTTCATCAGTAAGTTAATTTGTTTGTTTGCATTCAGCAGCTATAAACTCTTCCAGAAAGTCTTGGCTTTTCATCCATTTCTGGACTGGCTTTTTTTCCAGGACCTGGGTTTTGCATGTGCATCCATTTTACAAGTTTGTTTTATTTGTGTTGACTTTTGATTCCTCGACTTTCAGGCTGATGCACTCTGATGCCCAAGGAAATACTCAAATTAGTCAGTTCCTATGACATTTTTTGTCGTGGCTAAGGGGAAGGGGGGCAATAGGTCTATCCCCCCCCCTCCCCCCAATTGGGGTCCTGGGACCACACTGAGATTTTCCTCAGTAAAAAGAAGTTAGCTGCATGCAGTGAGAAGAAAAATCACTAATACTAATGAGAACAAGCATGAAAAGAGCTGATGTAATCAACACTGTATAGACTAATCTGGTCGGCAAAGACAAGTCTCTGACATTATCCTGTCTGCACTACTATTGCCAAAACATCCATTACTTTAGGGACGCTTACTTTGAAATAAGGAGGTGTTTGCAACATGGCTGAATCACACCAACTCTAGCTTCATGTCTTGCAAATAAAGTCTGGTGAAGCATGTTGATGCTGCCTTCAAAGTCAGGATAGATGATATTATAACCAACTTATTATGGGAAAATCAGCAGAGATACACTAGGATGGGTGATGTAACGGAGGATAGAGAATACATGCCAATGTCTAATGTGTTGTGATGTCAATAATAAAGACATAACATTAAATTGTTTCTTCTTCTTCTTCGTTTGTCTTAATGCTTAGGCATTTTTTTTTTGGGGGGGGGGGGGGGGGGGGAACAAAGAGAGGCTAGAAGTTTGAGGTTCTAAACACTGGATCAACATCATGGTACATGGGTAGTAAACCATAAGGGCTCCATTCTTCTTCTAACTCAAGTCTGAGTCCAAAGAAGCTCAGCACAGTGCACAGGCTCTGTAGCACCGGCGAGGATCCTGAAATACTTTGGGTAGATTTTCAACTCCAAACTTTGCTAGGGAAGCGCAGTTAGGCTTCTCTTTTCAATCTCCAACTGCCAAGGAATTTTGTATGATCACAACAATGCACACGGGTGTCTGATCTCACTACCCAGAGACCAGGGTGAATTATTAGAAGTCCAAGTCCATATGAAAAAACCCAGCCCTTACCGGGGATTGAACCTAGAACCTCTAGCACTCAAGGCAGACACTATGCCTCAAGCCCAATCAGCACCCCTAGAGAGGTTAGAAACAGCCGTATAAAAGGCAGTTTTATGAAGGAATAGTCATCATCACTAATGATGGCTGAACAACAACAACAGCAGCTTGTGTTAATTTGATACTGAGTTTCTGAAGTGTCTCTTTTACTTCCTCCACCCATATCTTTCTTGGTTGGCCTCTAGCCTTGTAGCCTGCTGTTCTCATGCAGTATGCTCAAGCTGCTGGCTGATTCTGTTCCATGCCGATTAGATGACCAAACCAATTGATTCTTTGATGTTCTATGAAATCATTCACCAGTATGGTGCCTAAATTTTTTTCTTAGTTCTTTATTTAAAACAAAACACTAAAAATAACAAATGATAATATTAACATATAACAATTACAAAATGCTGATGACCTACCCAAGGTGAATGGGAACATTAGGATCTGGTGTGTAGCTCAGCGATCCATTCTGGAACAACACTACACCTGCAGCATCTTCAGATAACTGGTAACTAATTTTATCTGGAACATCAACATCATCCCGAGCTTCAACTCTGAGATAATTCTCTCTGCCCTCATGCACAAGCCAGTAGTTTTCGATGCCCAAGTCAGTTACCAACTTTAATGTTGGAGGAGTGTTGTCTATGTGCCACACAGAAGCAGATAAAAAAAAAATGAATACACATTGCAGCAAATGGAAAACCTATATGAACATTGTATGAGAATTTGTATGTTATGTGTGGCCCTTTGGGACAAGCAACAGAATCAGTAGAGAAAGAAGATTATTATGACTTGGAGATAATGAGGCCAGAGGGTCTGGCTGGCTGACTACACTCAGAGGAAATGCAAGACAGACATTTAACCAGGTTGTGACAGGTACCATCTGTATCTGGCTGCTTAAGATAAGGACAGAGCAGGCATGGTAATGCCCCGAGTGCTGTGATGTCAATTCTTGATTCAACTCACCCAACTCAACTGTAATACTAAATTTATACAGCCATCAAAGGTGGAATACAAATTATCTCTGGCTTGGACAAACACATGAGGTGCTCAAAGTGGTTATTCTTCTTCACAGTCCAATGTGCGTGGAATCACCTGTATTTTTGTTCTGGGATATGCAGGCGTCGATGGAAATGAAAGAGCTGATAGGTTGGCTGGTTCCATTATCACTACCGACGGTCAGCCTATGGATCATGCTGATATTATCAAAGCTCTCAGAGAAATGGGAAGGATAGAGGACTTTGGTGGCAGTGAATCCACATCACTCGCCAGAATGGCAGACTTGGGAATTAAGATTGGCATAGGAAAAAAACGAGACGCACACCAGATACACAAGAAGACTTGTTTATGAGCATAGAACTGGTACTATTAGCCATGGGACGTTGGGGTTCATACTGAGGGGAGGATCTGAGCATCTCTGGACATGTCCGGAGTGCAATGATGATCACTCAAATAACTAACTAACTAACTAACTAACTAACTAACTAACTAACAAACAAACAAACAAACAAACAAACAAACTAATTAACTAACTAACTAACTAACTAACTAACTAACTAACTAACTAACTAACTAACTAACTAACTAACTAACTAACTAACTAACTAACTAACTAACTAACTAACCAACTAACTAACTAACTAACTAACTAGCTAGCTAACTAGTTCTTCTTCATTCTTCTTCACTTTCACTGGCTGTATACTCCGACAAAATATTCTGGATGTTCGTCCATCTCTAGACTTTAGTTTTGTTCCAGAATTGAGTGTTGAGTGTCATGGAATGAACAGCCACCATACACATTAGAGGAGTCAGGACTTGATATCCCTCGCGCTTAGCAAAATTTCAAACTTGGACCCGTCCGGAAAGGTATATAGTCCCTTATATTGATCTATACCTTTATCTAGTAAAATAGTAATTTCTGGACCATCTAGTTGCTTTGATATATCTTCATTTTCAAACTTGCAACTCTAGATTGGGTAATTCTGGAGTTTTATTTGAAAATTCCTGTCAACCGGTTTACTGCTTGTTCATTAATACAAGGAACTTCTTTTCTGGTGACGTGTTTGATTTTGAAAAACGCCATTATTTTGTCTAATCCCAAAGTGTCAAGACGTATATCCAATTTTGAGAGAATTTGGCGCATTCATAGTTCCAGTTCTAACTTGGAAGATTTCCTAAGCTTGGGTAAGTTAATTATAGTTTACGAGTACCTTAATTGATGTCTTTCTAAAGTTGGTCACTGCTGTAGTGAGAGCAGTATCAGCTATGGGATCGCACAGAGTTCGACCGTTCTTGATGTCCAGAGATCCGGATCCGAACCTTAGACCTTCCCCTGTACAGACTAATTAATTGGCGCTCTACATACCCCACACCATTGGTAAAGATATTAAACCCTACAAGTAATTGTTCTCTAACCAGGCAGTATTAACTGGAACAGGGAATGTAGGTCAGTTGTAACTGACAGGGCTAAGCGCTCTGCACCTAGTGTGTTTGACACAGATCAATGGGTGTGTAGTGAATGGCCTGTCGAGACGGAAGATATATGGGTACTGATTGTAAACATTGTGTGTCTGGGTGCAGATGTGGGGTTGGAGAGGGGATGATCTATGTGTGGTAGTGTCTATCTATCTATCTCCATTATATATATCTGACTTCCTATCTGTTGCACTAGTTGACAGACAGATAAATGAAAGGAGACATTGTCTCCTGGTCTTGAGAGGAATGTAGAAGAGGAGCAGAGGTGGAGTGAGCTGATGTGTGATGAAAACTGATTACTAATTCTGAGTTCTTTCCTGACAAGATGATACCCCCTTGGTGATTACTAATTCTGAGTTCTTTCCTGACAGGATGAGACCTCTGTAGAGATCAAGCAGACGAATCACAGTCCAGCCAACAACCACCAACCCTTATCATTCTAGGCACCAAGCATAACCATGTCCTGCCTTGTATGCCAGCACCTCAACATGGCAAGAGCGAGTTTGTGAGCTCCAGGACAAGTGAACAGTTACAGACCGTTGTGTACCCTATTCTCGAGAACCAGTCTTCAGGAGCTTGGTTGGGCTCTGAGACATTGTGACCTGACCTGTGAGAGAGACTTGTTGAGTCCCTATTCTGTGTCCTCGATGGTGAGGTAATTCACTGGTACCAGATCAACTAGAGGCAGAGATACCTGAGTCTACTACAGTCGAATCACCATGGACTGAGGGGAGCATCGACCTAGGAACTGGGCTAAGTGATGGTTTTATCATCATCATGCTCTCTTCTCACAGCTCCGCATGATTCCTAGGATGAACTGGTGTATTCCACAGGACCATATCTGGCTGCTTAAATGTCTGGGTCGTGTCACTGAGTCCTGAGTCTATGAACATTCTTAAGAATCTATTCTTTAATACATGTGTATATATTTTATACTGATTACATACATTCATTTTCATGGCTGACTTAGGTGTCACTGTTTCACCTTTCTAACTGTTTAGCATTGATGTGTGTTAGTAATAAGTATTATATGTGTTAACATGGTTATGATAGTAGACTATCATAACCTGGGGGCTTTCTTTGATACATAGTGGGGGCGGCCAGCCAAGTGTGCCTAGGAATATTGTATTCATAAACAGATATATTTGGTAGTGCCAATACTTGAGTTGCCCTACTCCAGAAATAAGTTGAGCGTATATTGGCCACGGGGAATCCCTTAGACTAATACGAGCCAACGACTCAACATAATTATTTCTGAGTGCTGTTGGTTCTGAAGGAGAAATCCTTAAATCAGGCACGTGACACGAGTGATATGTGACATTGAGCTTATTCAGTGTGTAGGAATATTATTTTATGGACGAGAATCAGATGCAGATGCTGGGGTGGACCCATTCAACAATGCAGCAAAGTTATACTCGTGCAGCACACAATGCTTATAAAGTAATCTGTTGGCCAGTTTGGGTGGGTCTAGTGTTTGTATGTTGTATAGAACTGAGTGAGTGAAACGGAACCCAACTAGAACTTCAGACAGTGTCTAACACCCTGTGACGCAAAGTGCAATTTTTCATGACTCTGATACGAATCCTCCAGGTGAAGACCCAGAAAACCTGTTCAAGTGTATGCTAATATTAGGGACTTCACTGGTTACAGAATGGCTTCCATGGCTTAGGTGTTGCGAGTCCGACTTGTAATTCCAATGAATTGCGATCGAAACCCACTGCTGGTTGCAGCGCCGTTAGGCTACTATTTTCTATTTCCAACTGCCAAGGGATTTTTTTACCTCCGCAACAATGCACAAGGGTGTCCGTGTGTCCATTCCAGCTCTTACTGGGGATTGAACCTGGAACCTCTAGCACTCGAGGTGGACACCATGCCTTGGGACCACACAGCCCCCTATAATAGGATGGAGTATATGACAGTATGGGATTTAGTGAGTGATGTTCAACAGCACCATGACCTCACAATGAGTGATAAACACCGGGTGACACAAAGTGCTACCATTCAGATGAGAAACCTTGCTCAATCGTTATTTTATATTAGGGCCCCCAAAAACAGCGGGAGCTTTAAAATAAAAATGGTGTCCCATTGTGGGGCGGGTCTTTAAAGTATAGAATTAGATTGATTGACGTTTAAACCTATCAGGACATCATACTGAACAATAAACACCCGGTGAAACAAAGTGCCACCATGCAGATTAGGATCACCCATGGAGAGGTCCCAGAAACTCCCTTCAGATGTTAGGCCATATTTATGGCCCTGCTATATTTATGGCCCCCAACAAAGCTAAGGTGGGACTTCGAATAATGAAAAATTGCATTTCCCATGGGTACAACTTCTGTAATTGAGTACAGAATTAGATACAGAGCACGGTTAATAACAATATAGTAACTTACCTAAGCTGTGATTTATCATTTCAATTTCCTCTTCTTTACTTTTTGTATTCCTGGCAATTTCAACACTGTCCGTAGCAATGAAGTCATAAACACATGCATTATAGTTACTACCACAAAATGCTCTTGCAATTTCCAATTTGTCTGTTTTGACTTCATCCAAAAATATGGGCACATACTCTGGATGTTGATAATCATTGGTGGTCTCCCCTGTATCATATGTAAACACTGACCTGGATGCAGTCACCAAATCTGAAAGGGGAAATACATTACAGGTTAAGACAGCATTTTATTAATAAACTCAAATTTATATGACATTTTTACCTGCAAAGAGTTAACTTTTTGTACAATAAAAATAAACGGGTAGCCACGGTTACACCGCTGTGGTGTAAAGAAATAACTATTGACATTTTCTAAGCCATAATGTATACAATGTATGCAAAAGATGAAGTCATTACATTTGTTTTTGTGTCGTGTGTAATCCAGTCATCTCCTTGTGAGATGCAATTTTTTGTTATTTGAAGCCCCACCCTAGCTCTTGCCAGGGGCCGCAATATAGCTCGACCATAAATATGGTCTAATGGCTGAACGCGGACTCTGGGACCTCTCCACGGTGATCCTCATCTACATGGTGGAACTTTGTGTCATCGGGTGTTTATCGCTTGTGTGATGTCCTAGTTGGGGTGAAAATCTACTACTACTACTAATTTGTGTCGTGTTTTATTTCTTGTCATTTGTTTGCTAATGAATGCTTTTTGCCAGAACTTCTTTTGTTTGTTTATTGTATTTGGTTCTGTAAAGCTGACATATGCTTTATGTCTTTTCCAAACTATGTATGTATATGTGTGTATGTACACAGACTGAAGATGCACTGGCTATGAAATCACACAGGGCTGGAGAAATGGCTAGAGAAAGAGAGACCTTTTGGGGTGCCATGAAGAGAGCAGCGTTCTGTAGAAGACATGCTGACTGACTGAATACAATATAGAATCACCAGATATCTTGTTTGTCACCTTTTTCTTCCCAGATAATTGTCATATGATTCTGAAAATTGTCGGGTACACAGTTTTATTAGTTCAAATGTGAAGCAGAAAGTTTCCATATTGCATGGGGACACTACTCCAGGTGCCTGACCTGGCCATGAGTTGTCTGTACTATAAGTCCTGCCGTTTTAAAACTTCATAATCCATTCATAAATCAGATGGTTCCTGGTGCCATCGGAATTGGAACTCTTCGCTTGCTGCTGAAAATGGGGATGGAGCACAATTGAGGGTGTCCTGAGTGCTGTGATGTTGATTCCTAATTTAACATACAACATTTAATCCACTCATACATTTGCTGGCCTGGTAGGCATGCATCCCCATACTGGATCATCATTCATCAATGAAATTCTATTGGTTTCACCCCTTCACTGATATATATATATAAAAAAAAATGAAATGTTGAATGTTGAATTAAGAACCGACATCACAGCACTCAAGACACTCCCATAAAAGCTCCATCCCCCATCTTCAGGAGCAAGCGAAGAGTTCCAATTTCGATGGCACCTGTTTCCTTCTGAATGTATATCCATCTCATCCTGTCCCTGAGTTTTGAGTGCTGGCAAGATTCCTTGGTAACTACTCACAGCACCATTCTCCTGGCAGAATGTTGCTCCTTTTTGTGCACGCAGTAGTGGGGAAGCCATCTTTAAACAGACATTATGACATCGCTGTGTTCATCTGCACTATGGTGTCATGTGCTTAACACCCTTAACATCCTTAGTAACAATATTGACAGGTTGCAAGACAAAGCTATCTTCTTCTTTTTCAGCATTCCGAGCCCTTGAGGTCATTGCTGCAGATATCACCCACCTCCATTCATCTTTCTGGTTGGCCTTCTCTTTTCAGTTGGTGACAAAGACAAAGCTATGGTTATTACAATAAATTTTACACTTATATGGTTTTTATTTAAATACAGAGTTAGTAATATATGCCAAATATATTTAAAATCCTTAAAACTGGTCCTTTCGTTTTTGTAAAGCAAATGATTCTTTCCCTGTACTCATACAGGACTTAAGGCTGCAGATTACAAGTGGCTGGCTGTTCAGCCATTTTAGGTTCCTTAATTATAATTTCCTTGGAAATTCAACAGAGTTTCTGAGATCTACCTTATTACACTGACATCCAGATCGAGATAGTTTGATCTTGGGATAGTATATCAGAGAGGTAGCAGAGAGGACAAACTGTTCAACTGATGATATATAATTTTATTTATCATCTCTAAAAATGTATTAAAGAGATAAAGTAAAATAAAAAAGAACCCTTTACACCTTATGAGTATCCATATTTTTGTTTGTCAATGAATAAGTGATGTAACCCAGCTGCCTTTACTTTCATATCATATTTTCTGGTATCCATTTGGTCTGAATCAACTTGGAAATCGAGCCAACATTTTGTAAAATAATGCACCTCAGTAGAAAAACCAAACCATGGCCATCTGGCAAGCTGACTACCAGATTTCCCTATCTAAGATATACAGATCTTCCTGTTCAAACTCACATTGTTTGGCAAAGATGTCAAGAATCTCCCTGTCTGTGATATTGGAAGGAAGAACAGAGCCATTCGGTAGAAGAAAATCATCCGTGGGATCTCCGTTAAAGGTACCAAGAAGACCTCTTGTTTTGTTCTGCAGAGACTTGTCAACCTCTAAGTCAATCATCAAGCTGTTAATGCCAACATGGACTTTGATGGCCACTCCTGCAGAACAGAACAAATAAACAAAGTTAAGGATACAAATAGCAGCTACATGCCTATATTCAATTTCGTTCTACTATTTAAATAAACTGCATCATCCACTCTCAAAAGTAATTGCCTGTTTTAAACTTAAGTACAGATACAGGATCATGTCTTTTTGTCTGCACAAATCTGACTGATCATACACAAACATTTAATTTTGTATTTCAGTTATATAGGAATAATTTATTCGCTTTTTTTTAAAAATGTTACTGTAAGATGCATCAGACAAGGTACAGTGAAAAAGGCCAAGCAATAAATTGTGCAATCTATTATCTATGTCTTCTTTATTTAAATTTACAAAATGGAAACACCGTTCTGAGAAAAGTTAGTTCTAAAGCTGTTAAAATATTGAACCATATCAGACAGCAAGACAGCAAGATTTATAATAACTCTTGGAACAGTAGGTAAAAAAAAACCTTCAAGACAGGGCATTAAAAGTTGTAACAAAAAAAGTAAAGGTTCCTTTTGCAGGCCCTTAGGCATATAGGGCATATAACGCTAGACCAACATTTTTATAGACCAATCGGCACAAGATGGCTGATGTGGTCTTGATGCCGGCCACCTTTACACCTCGGAACTGCACCTGGTTCCCACTCAAGGCTGAGTCGACCGGGGAGTCAAGGTCATTTTTTAAATAGAAAGTTGAGTAAATTGTATCATGTAAGAAGTTATTTATTAACATGGGTTCGAGTTGCTTGATAGTGAAACTGGACTAACTAACTTTATAATTAGCCCATTTTACTATGAAAGTGATTTTTAAAAAAAACCTTAAACATAAAAACACTTTTTTGACACAGCAAACTAAAATTTTTTTTTTAAATTATATTTTTATATCATATTATTTTATATTATTTTTCATGTTTTTGTGTACAAAGATATATATATATATAGGGAGTAATCAACTAGCAAGAAGAGAAAGAAGTGTTAAATGGAAGCATTCTCTGGGGCCTAAAACTACAATGTATCAGGTGAGCAATTCTATGACCACATGACCTGTATCACTGAGGTTACTGGGAAACTTTTAGTCACTATGGCTTTAAAAAAGCCATTGGGGTCACAAAGAAACAACTCTAAGGGCTATATTTAGTTAATATGTTCAACTTAAGGGCTCTAAGCTGGTGCACATAGAACCAGTGACATATAACTATGCATGTAAGTATAACTACACATGATTCAAATGCAAAGACTGTACCTCAAGGAACATGAAAGGGGAAAGAGGAAAAGGGGGGGGGGAGGGGGTAGTTACAGAAAAGGTGGGCAAAGAAGAACCTAAAATGACAACATCAAGAAACGGACAGGACTAAGTTATCATAAAATTATTCATCAGGCGGAAGACAGAGAAAGATGGCAGGTTTTGTGTGCTAGTTCCTCTTCTTCTTCTTTTGTTCACTTGAAAAAGATTACCTGTTTCTGCAATGTTGTATATAGAATGTCTCTGTGTGTGCTATTACTTTCATCGATACACCTCCAAGAACCGAACGGGTCAATGGCTATGTTATGTGTGGTAACTATGCATCTTAAGAAAAAGTCACTGCAGAAGTGGCCAGATAGCATTTAGGGGAAAGTGTCATGACCAAAGGTGACTAGATTTAGCCTTCTTGGTTTTACAGAGCTAACATACAAGATGAACAGTTACAAAATAACTGACCACACTGGAACACAGCTGCAGCGATAATCCTGCTGTTTTCATTTATTCTTCCAACACTTATGGTTTCAGTTGACCAGGTGAAGTTTGGGTTACTGTAAAATGAGTTAGTGAAGTCCATCCCATTGGCTAAGATGACCATTGCTGTAAAACAGAAAAACTGATTAAAAAAGAAACATATTTCATGTTTACAAGGAGGACCAGTACTAATTTAAACAACAGTTTCCTTTTTAATGAAGAAGAAATCCTACATTATTATTGAATTAATTTTGAATTAGGAATCAACATCACAGCACTCCATAAGCATTTTGTCCCCACCTTCAGTAGCAAGTGCAGAGTTCCCATTCTAATAGTACAATTAATAGTCTGATTGTATGATAATCCTGCCTTTGCCTTGAGTTCTGAGTGTTGACCGGATGTGCTGATAACTCCTCACAGTACCATTCTCCTCCGACCATGGTGATCTATTTGTGCTCGCTCACTGTTCACTCGCTCCCAAGGAATAGTCAAGGATACATAAGAAAATGTACAGTAGAGTCTTTATTGGCAGCCTCATCAGAGATTCAGCGGCCCACTATCGGCTGCGTGGATTTTTATCATGGTATGGGGTGTCACAGGTCGACCCAGCCTAAAATGGGTACCAGGATGGCTGTCCTGGGGAAGTAAAGATGACCGGCATAATGCTGACCACAGATTGCACCAATTGGTCTGTAAAAATATGGAATGCTCTTTCCATATGCCTGATGCACCTAAAAGCGTGAAAAGGGATCTTTCCTTTTTTTTAACATCAGAGAGCAAACATCTGGAGAATGGAGGATGGAAGAGCCCATAAGGACATCATCTACGGTGAATTACATATGAGGCAATGTTTGTTTAGGCTGGCCTCTATTAGGTATAAAGATGTGTGCAGGCACGAAATGAATGCTACAGGTATTTGGAAGATTCATGGGAATAAAATGCTATGGACCATCAGGAAGGAAATGAGAATAAAGGAAGAAATGTTTGCAGAAATGATGAGAGCTGAGCATCTGAGAAGAAACACACTAAATACATACAATGGTAACATGTCCTGCTTGTCACACTCACCTGCTGTGAGTCCCATGTTTCCTCAAAACACAGCATAACACTATCATAAGGAAAAAACGGAAAGGTGCCGACAAATGTGACTAACAACATGGTCCATGGAAAGCCACTCACTCTCTTGCCAACTTTTCCATCTCATGAACTTTGATGCCCAGCGTGTCCTTTAGATCCTGCATCCACTGCTGAGCTATTTTACGCCTAGCTCTAATTTTAGAAACCACCCCCCCCCCCCTTCCCCATAACTGCAAAATCTGAATCATTTTATTCTTCATCATCACCTCCACCAGCTGTAAACTCTGACAGAAAGTTTGGGTTGTTTGGCCCCTTCCGGATTGTGTCTTATTCCGAAAGGTGCAAATATTGCAACCATGCTGTAAACTGGCACAACACAATTATAACTTAGGGTGAATGCAGAAGAAGAACTTGGGTTTTGCATGCATATCCATTATATAGATTGGCATATTCATATGCAGACTGTTGCTGGCTCCTTGCTTCTCAGGCAGATGCACTCCGACTTCAAAGGAAATGCCTCTAAGTAGTCACCTTTGACGACACATTCTTCTTAGGTTGGCAATAGTTCTGTTACCCCCTCCCCCCTGCCTTGGGGTCCTGGAAACCAAACAGGGACAGGGCGTTATGACTTTTAATATGAGTAAAGTAATTCTGTTTCTAAGAAATTATTCTGTCTCTGAGCCAGTCCACACTCCCCCCCCCCCCTTTTTTTTTCCAATGTTCAGATTCTGAGCAATATCAATATATATATATATAAAGTAAAGGACCATTTTCCACACCTTTAAGCATATTAGGCATTTAGAGTGGGGCCTACATTTTATAGACCAACCAGCACTCGGTGGCTGATGTGGTCAACATAAACTGAGAGCTTCCTTCGAAGTCTGAGTGCATCTGCCTGAGAGGCAAGGAACCAGCAATCTGCATACAGTTGAGTTAGATCTGTAAAACGGATGCACACACAACACTCAGGTTCTGGAACAGGACTGCAGTCCAGAAGTGGATGAACATTCAGAACTTTCCACCAGAGTTTACAGCTGGAGAACGTGAAGAAGAAGAACATATTGGGACAGAAGTTAGCCAGCCAGAATAGCAAGAAGTGCAAAATTATATCTCCCTTGGTAGCCAAAGCAGTAAAAGACAAAGTGAAGAAGATGAAGAAGAAGAAGAAGAAGAAAAGGAGGAGGAGAAAGAAGAAGGATGAGGAGGAAAGGAAGAAGAGAATTTACTTGTCTTGGTTTGAGCCAGATGCACTTGAAACCTGGCAAAGTTTTGCTCTCGTGCAGCAAATGCTGTGAACCCTGTCCCATTTGATAGTATTCCATTTATCTCTATTCTCTGTGTGCGAGCCTGTTGAACAATAAATGAAGAGTTATATAGCTCTACACACACAGTTATCAGTTAAGTAATTAATGCTTTCCACCCCACAAAGTCATAGTCCACTGGTATCAAGTGTAATCTACCAAGAATCAGTCTTGTCAGGTACAATCTGTCAAGAGCCACAGTTGTCATGTGCAATCTACTAGGAACCATTGGTGTCAGGTGCAATACCAAGAATGACTGGTATCAGGTGCAATACCAAGAATGACTGGTATCAGGTGCAATACCAAGAATGACTGGTATCAGGTGCAATACCAAGAATGACTGGTATCAGGTGCAATACCAAGAATGACTAGTATCAGGTGCAATACCAAGAATGACTGGTATCAGGTGCAATACCAAGAATGATTGGTATCAGGTGCAATACCAAGAATGACTGGTATCAGGTGCAATACCAAGAATGACTGGTATCAGGTGCAATACCAAGAATGACTGGTATCAGGTGCAATACCAAGAAACACTGATATCAGGTGCAATACCAAGAATGACTGGTATCAGGTGCAATACCAAGAAACACTGATATCAGGTGCAATACCAAGAATGACTGGTATCAGGTGCAATACCAAGAATGACTGGTATCAGGTGCAATACCAAGAAACACTGGTATCAGGTGCAATACCAAGAATGACTAGTATCAGGTGCAATACCAAGAATGACTAGTATCAGGTGCAATACCAAGAAACACTGGTATCAGGTGCAATACCAAGAATGACTGGTATCAGGTGCAATACCAAGAATGACTGGTATCAGGTGCAATACCAAGAATGACTGGTATCAGGTGCAATACCAAGAAACACTGATATCAGGTGCAATACCAAGAATGACTGGTATCAGGTGCTATACCAAGAAACACTGATATCAGGTGCAATACCAAGAATGACTGGTATCAGGTGCAATACCAAGAATGACTGGTATCAGGTGCAATACCAAGAATGACTGGTATCAGGTGCAATACCAAGAATGACTGGTATCAGGTGCAATACCAAGAATGACTGGTATCAGGTGCAATACCAAGAATGACTGGTATCAGGTGCAATACCAAGAATGACTGGTATCAGGTGCAATACCAAGAATGACTGGTATCAGGTGCAATACCAAGAATGACTGGTATCAGGTGCAATACCAAGAAACACTGATATCAGGTGCAATACCAAGAATGACTGGTATCAGGTGCAATACCAAGAAACACTGATATCAGGTGCAATACCAAGAATGACTGGTATCAGGTGCCACGCCAAGAATGACTGGTATCAGGTGCAATACCAAGAAACACTGGTATCAGGTGCAATACCAAGAATGACTGGTATCAGGTGCAATACCAAGAATGACTAGTATCAGGTGCAATACCAAGAATGACTAGTATCAGGTGCAATACCAAGAAACACTGGTATCAGGTGCAATACCAAGAATGACTAGTATCAGGTGCAATACCAAGAAACACTGGTATCAGGTGCAATACCAAGAATGACTAGTATCAGGTGCAATACCAAGAATGACTAGTATCAGGTGCAATACCAAGAAACACTGGTATCAGGTGCAATACCAAGAATGACTAGTATCAGGTGCAATACCAAGAATGACTAGTATCAGGTGCAATACCAAGAATGACTGGTATCAGGTGCAATACCAAGAATGACTAGTATCAGGTGCAATACCAAGAATGACTGGTATCAGGTGCAATACCAAGAATGACTAGTATCAGGTGCAATACCAAGAATGACTAGTATCAGGTGCAATACCAAGAATGACTAGTATCAGGTGCAATACCAAGAATGACTAGTATCAGGTGCAATACCAAGAATGACTAGTATCAGGTGCAATACCAAGAATGACTGGTATCAGGTGCAATACCAAGAATGACTAGTATCAGGTGCAATACCAAGAATGACTAGTATCAGGTGCAATACCAAGAAACACTGGTATCAGGTGCAATACCAAGAATGACTAGTATCAGGTGCAATACCAAGAAACACTGGTATCAGGTGCAATACCAAGAATGACTAGTATCAGGTGCAATACCAAGAATGACTAGTATCAGGTGCAATACCAAGAAACACTGGTATCAGGTGCAATACCAAGAATGACTAGTATCAGGTGCAATACCAAGAATGACTAGTATCAGGTGCAATACCAAGAATGACTGGTATCAGGTGCAATACCAAGAATGACTGGTATCAGATGCAATACCAAGAATGACTAGTATCAGGTGCAATACCAAGAATGACTAGTATCAGGTGCAATACCAAGAAACACTGATATCAGTGCAATACCAAGAACAACTGGTATCAGATGCAATACCAAAAACTACTCTTCTCAGGTGCAATAAACCAAGAACCACTGGTTCGGGTGCAATCTCTAAGTTCTTGACTTCAGAAAAGAAAGAAATTTATCCTACAGCTAAGTGAAATAATTCACATGACACATGACAGAAGCACAGATTCAACAAATGACAGAAGCACAGAAACAACAAATGACAGAAGCACAGAAACAACAAATGACAGAAGCACAGAAACAACAAATGACAGAAGCACAGAAACAACAAATACCTGAAGGGTAAAGTTGTCACTTGGGACCTCCATCAGGATATATTCACCCCAGCCATTCATGGGATAGCTCCTTTTGTCTAATGTGTTTATGGTAGGATCACCCAGGGCATGTGCTATCATTAAAAAAATCAACAAACACTATGATATATTTACCAAACAAAGAAGAATTCACAACATTATAATGTAGGTTAAGCTCCTTTTACGTGATAGTGACGCACTGAGCATATGACACTAGACTCATATTTTTTATAGATATGGTCAATATCATGCCGGCCACCTTTACTTCCCATGACTTTAACTGGTACCCATTTAAGGCTGGTTCAACCTGGGAGCAAAGGTCATTTGTTTGAAAAAAATTATGCTGCAAGTAGAACTGAACCCATGACCTTCAGAGCCACAGGCAAGATTCACAGTACATACGCGGGTATCAATACATTATGCAATTTAAAAAAACAAACATTTGTGGAAGTCAAGTTATGGGATTTGTTTACTTGAAAAAGAAAATGGTTCAGACATGTAATGAGAAGGAATTAAATGATGCCAGCAACAAGGGCATGCTCATGGAAGTAGAAACAGCCAGAAGGAGTCACTAACAGATTGGAATGCCGCAACATCACGGCATAGCGGGCGACCGAGCATTGTCATAGAAATGACACCAATGGCCTGTTAACATGTGATGCCTGGTAGAATAAAGCAGAATATGGACAAAGGAAAGAATAACAATGAAATGTAGTTTAATAAAGCTTATATGACTTTTGTATTTTTGTAAAAGATAAGTATCTGTTCCTCTATTTATGTTACAACTAGAGTTAATAGATAGGAAATACTGTTTAATGTTGTTAAAATAAAAAGGAAAATAGAGTAATGAAGATGTCTTGACAGAAATTAATTAATGATGAGAATTGACTGCCTATATCAGAAAGAGACAATCTATATTCTTTGGTCATTAGAAGGAGAAAACTGGAGTATATTGTAACAGTAGTAAAGTTGGAGAAAAGGAGTGGCAGAGAGAGACCATGAGAACATGGACTTGAGAAGCTGTCAAAATACACAGGATAGTGATATATATATATTTTAATTGATCCAGAAACCAAGAGTTGTAAACCCTTTGGCTCGGTACTTTGGATATTGCGATCCTTCGGTCTTGATTCCACCACTGGTACCGTAAATCTGGGAAATTTGTGGCTTTTTTGCCTACCTCCAAATGCGAACTTGGACCAGGCTGGTTTAACCAACTGAGCTAGCAAGCTGGGCAAGATTTGTATATAAGTATGCTAGCGAATCATATCTTTTATATATATGAATCTATATCTACATCAAGGAAGATTGGCTAATAAACAGCATCCTGTCCCAGAAGATGAAATATTTTGGTCATATCAAGCACCACGATGGATTGGAAAAAAGCTATAGCAGAAGGCATGGTACCAGGAAGGAGGGACAGGGGCCGACCAACACGAAAATGGGCACAGGATATAAGGGACTCCTTGAGTATGAAAGTACATGAGGTGGAAAAGCTGGCGAGAGACAGAGTTTCTTTCAGGCAGACCGTGATGAGAGTGACGTTCTGCAAAGGACCTGCTACATGATGATGATGACATCTGTAGTAGGAGTCTGATGGTCCGATAATCTTAGGTTCAAATCTGGACCAGTGGAAAAACACAATAACCTTGGCCTATAGGTCAACAAAGCCTACAACTGGTTCCAGGAAATGTCTGGAGAAGTAAAGATGGCCTGCATGATGTTAACTATATCACCTGCTGCTGATTAGTTAGTTTCATATCACTTACAGGACGTTGCAGAACCAACCCTAGCATTTTTTTTGGCTAATTGTTTGCAATTTAAACAGGCAGTTTTAAATTCTTCTTCTCTTTAGTATTTGTTCATTAATGGAAAGTTCTTGTTGTCTACTTCTGGACTTTGGTTTTGTTCCTGAATTTGAGTTTGGTGTGCACTACCATTTTACAGATCTAACTTATTTGTCTGCAGACTGTTGGTTCCTTACCTCTCAGGCAGATGCACTATAACTTTGAAAGAAACATCCCTAATGTGTCAACTTTTATGATGTTTTTTTAGGGGAACAGTGGGTCAATCCTTATTAAAATGAAGACTGTACACACAATGGAACATTTTACAAGTTTACATTCAGTTGGTTGCTTTCACTACTGAATGGTTGGCACTCCATACCATTGTTTAAATCAATTAAAAGCATTCTGCTGCCAAGTTATCTACCACTGGAATCGAACCAGTTATTTCATAATTATTTACAGCTTTTTCAACACCTATGTCACAGGCCTGGTCTATGTTTGTCAGTTCTAGCTTTGTTTGTTTGTTTATTACTGCCTTAACTAGTTTTTATTTTTGCAGTGTAGGCAGGAGGGTCTTTGAGTTGGAGGATTTAAGGCTGTGGAGCTAGTGCTGTCACCATGAACTGTGCAGGTAAGGATTTTATTGTTGCCCCTCACAAACAAATCTCCAACCCTACTGAGGATTCAAACTCAGGTCTCCTGAATGACAGCCCTGCTTTGTTAACAGTTTAGCCAGCCACTCCTCTCATTGTTCTTTAAAAATGTCGAATATTGAATTAGGAATCAACATCACAGTACTCGGGACACCTCCATAAGCGCTCCGTCCCCATCATCAGCAGCAAGCAAAGAGTTAAAATTCCAATGGTACCAGTAACTGTCTCATTGTATATCCATCTTGCCCTTTCCTTCAGTGTCAAACGTTGGCCGTATCCCCTTCTAACTCCTTGCAGTGCCATTCTCCTCAGACCACAATGATCTATCTGTTCCTCGGCACTGTTCACTCGCTTCTAAAGGGCACTCACAACATGCAGCTTGTCATACACCAAGTGGTGCAGAACCAGCCAGTCTTCTGCCTGCTAATTTCCCGCCACACGGGCATAGCCTGGAGAAAATATCCAAAGGAAGTTAACTACCTGGCACCTCTGAAGTGATGCTTGCCACTCTGCACGAAGCATGCCTGTCTCCACCTTTCTCAACATGCTCTGTGAGTCAGTTACAATAACAGCCTGTGTGTACAGCTGATTTTCAAGCCAGCAGAAGGCAGCAGTGACTGCCTCCACCTCCATTCTCAAACTATACGTTCTTTAAAACTATGATTCCAGCATCATCGGAATATTAAAAAATTTTTAAATATTCACAGCATGGTTAGTTGCGTATCCTTTACAGGACATTGCAGAACCAACCCCAACAGCCCCTGGCTGTTGTGCCTGGCTGTTGTGTGGTTGTTCTAGGCAAATTTAGGTCCAGTAGTTATCCACAGCATACAAACTCCATAACACCAAAATAATAACAATCCTCAGAAAAACTCTGCACAAAAAATATACTGTTCATTACCACGGATGTTGAATGTTGAATTAAGAATCGACATCACAGCACTCGGGACACTCTCATAAGCGCTCCGTCCCCATCTTCAGCAGCAAGTGAAGATGGGAGTGTCCTGAGTGCTGTGATGTTGATTCTTAATGCAACATTCAACACCTGTAACTTTTATTATACATTTAGGCACTATTCTTTTCTTGGAAATCACCATTACTTGTCTTGTATTTTATTATATAACTACTTTTTCCAGAATAGATAGCCAAAATTGATTATGTGCATTATTATTAGAACTGTACCGAATAGTGATTTTCACTATTCGGCCGAATACGAATAGGGGGGCCAACTATTCGGCCGAATACGAATAGTGTATAAAATATATCTAAAAAATAAAATCACATGCATAATGTCAAATGTACACTAAACTTTTACTTCACATGAAGTAGCACAGAAAAGTCTTTTTCTTTAGCATTCTGAGCCCTTGAGGTTTACTGCTGCGTATATCACTTGTCTCCATTCATCTCTCTGGCTGGCCATCTCTTCACAATTTGTGACACCAGTTGTTTGCAGGTCTGACTGGACATTATCTCTCGAACTTCTTTTTGTCTGCCTCGTGGTCTACACCCATTCCTCTCTCAGGTGTATACAGCTTTTACTTCTCTGTCATCTGACGTTCTTTCAATATGCCCCAACCATTTTAGTCTGTAAGCCCTCATGATACCAGTGATCAGTAGTGATTTAAACATATTATGTTTTTCGTTGTTGCTTCTTACTCTCCATTCCCCGCTGTTTGCATCTTTGATGGGTCTAAAGATTTGTCGTAAGACTGTTTTTGAAAACCTGTAATAAGGCCTCATCTCTTTATTTCTACTTCAAGTTTCAGAGCCATATAAAACGACTGGTCTTATCAACGTTTTAAAAATTTTGATCTTGGTGTTGCGAGACAGAAACTTTGACTCTACCAGATGTTGAAGGGCATAGTATACTTTATTTCCAGATTGTATTCTAGATTGTATTTGTTGTTGCTTCTTACTCTCCATTCCCCGCTGTTTGCATCTTTGATGGGTCTAAAGATTTGTCGTAAGACTGTTTTTGAAAACCTGTAATAAGGCCTCATCTCTTTATTTCTGCTTCAAGTTTCAGAGCCATATAAAACGACTGGTCTTATCAACGTTTTATAAATTTTGATCTTGGTGTTGCGAGACAGAAACTTTGACTTTACCAGATGTTGAAGGGCATAGTATACTTTATTTCCAGATTGTATTCTAGATTGTATTTGTTGTTGCTTCTTACTCTCCATTCCCCGCTGTTTGCATCTTTGATGGGTCTAAAGATTTGTCGTAAGACTGTTTTTGAAAACCTGTAATAAGGCCTCATCTCTTTATTTCTGCTTCAAGTTTCAGAGCCATATAAAACGACTGGTCTTATCAACGTTTTATAAATTTTGATCTTGGTGTTGCGAGACAGAAACTTTGACTTTACCAGATGTTGAAGGGCATAGTATACTTTATTTCCAGATTGTATTCTAGATTGTATTTGTTGTTGCTTCTTACTCTCCATTCCCCGCTGTTTGCATCTTTGATGGGTCTAAAGATTTGTCGTAAGACTGTTTTTGAAAACCTGTAATAAGGCCTCATCTCTTTATTTCTGCTTCAAGTTTCAGAGCCATATAAAACGACTGGTCTTATCAACGTTTTATATATTTTGATCTTGGTGTTGCGAGACAGAAACTTTGACTTTACCAGATGTTGAAGGGCATAGTATACTTTATTTCCAGATTGTATTCTAGATTGTATTTCTTCTCCCAGCATGTTGGAGCAGTTGAAGTTTGCACCCAAGTACTTTTATGTTTCCATTCGTTTGATTTTCATACTTTGATGTGGCCGAAGTATATATTTGTTCCATGTCTAGTTAGTATTCGTACAGAATAGTAAACATTTAAAAACATTTTATGTTTTTTATCCTTCAGTCAGTCTGTGGTAACTAATAACTAGTAATGAAAGAATCCTAAGTATTATAACAAGTAACTAAACTTGGAAATCGTAGCTGACAGCTTATTTAATGCAGGAAAGCTGCATTAGCTTTCAACAAAACCAATCGTTCAATGTTTGTGTTAAGGCGATGTATGCAGAAGCGGGTGTAAGGTAACTACGGCTATCCTCTGACTAACTGTCGGTAAAAATGGTGGTCGCAAAATATCCTTTCAAGCCACAGTCATGTGACTTAATGTGCGGTTCTCCGGCAGTTTTCCAGCGACTATCGCCACCGCCACATGTCCCCCATGGCATGGAATGGGGCTAAACTAGATGGCTAGGATCCACGAGCAGCATCCACGGTGTGCTCATGACGGCTAGTGCGCAATTAACACGCGACTGTGGCTCGAAAGGATATTTTGTGGCCACCATCTTTACCGACCGTTAGTCGGAAGATAGCCGTAACTACTATTCGTATTCGGCCTGACCGAAACTATTCGGCCGAATACCGAATAGTCAATAAGTCCACAATTCGGCCCTGAAGCGAATACAAAGCGAACATTCGGTACAGCCCTAATTATTATAATATTAATTTTTCTTATATAAATTGTTTTGTGTTAAATGAACACTCCCTTACCATGGAATATAAATTGTTTTGTGTTAAATGAACACTCCCTTACCATGGATAAAGCTTGCATGTTGTGAACACTGATTATCTCCAAAGATTTTGTTGAATTTGTTACAGAAACGAAATGGGGATTTCTCACAGCACCATCTTTTAGCCTTGATGTTTTCGATAGCATCCTGGTAGGCTTGTGTGTTGCCAAACAAAGATGGTGAATACCAGGGGTTACTAATCAGTAGATATGAAGAGGAGAGGAGGAGAGATCCATCCTGCCAAGAGTGTAACCAGTCTTTCCAGCTATCATTTGCTGGCGGGGTCCAGGAATAACAACACAGCTAAAAAAATAATTTAAAAAAATAATAAGATAGTTAATAAAAAAAATAACAATTTATATAAGAACAATTAATATTATAACAATGCAATTAATCGATTTTGGCTATCTATTTTGGAGAAGGTAATTGTATAATGAAATACAAGACAGAGGTTATGGTGATTTTCAGGACAAGAATAGTGCCTAAATGTATAATAAAAGTCACAGATGTTATTTTAGGACAAGTACAGAAATTTTGTATCCAGGCACATGGATAATGTCCGATGGAAGATGTACCACAAAGATAAAGAATAGAATAGGACAAGCCAAAACTGCATTTTATAAACTGAAGAAAATTTTTTGTAGTAAATCCATGTCAATGAAGGTTAGGACAAGAATTTTCACATGCTACATAGAGCCAGTTTTAACATACGGCTGTGAAGCCTGGACAATTATTAAACAAGGCGAACAATATCTCGAGGTCTCAAGAGATGTGGTTTTTAAAAAAAAAATTTTATAATTCCTTGGACAGATAAGAAGAGCAACCCAGATGTCTTGAAAGAGGTGAGTGCTTAAAGACAAGTTATCACAAAGATTAGAAAGAAACTGTCATAATTTTTTGGCCACGTTATGAGAAGAGGGAAAATGGAACATGTTGTGACCACTGGAAAACTCTGAGGAAAGACAAACAGAGGAAGACAGAGGAAGACAGCGTGAGAAGATTTTTGAAAATCTTTTGTCATAGCATGGAGGGGTGTCAGCACATGAACTGATACATGCAGCTGCGGATCGTAGATTATGGAGAGGTATGATCGCCCATGCCAGTCGGGAACGCACTTGATGATGATGTTTATTTAAAAAATAAACAAATTATGATAAATTTCAAAAAGGTAATCATATTATTAGAAAGAAAATTATTGAACTAACAAATGTACTGAATAATAACTTAATAGATAAACTATGAATATTTGTATGTTGAATTGAGCTGATTCAAGAACCAACATCACAGCATTTAGGGCATTTCCTTAAGTGCTCTGTCCACGTCTTCAGCAACCAGCACAGTTTCAATACAAGTAGTGCTGGTAGCAGTTTGATAATACATCTATCCTGCCTTTCCTCTGAGCATCAGAATATTTATACAAGAAGAATTTTTCCTATAATACAGAAAATTGATAATTTTGTTTTTAAATTATGAAAACTATAAAAAAAGAGGCACCTACGGTGCCACTGAGGATTCAAGCCTGGAAAAAAGGCAGCTGGAAAATTGACCTCATAATTTATCTAAGTCAAATAACTCTCTTCTTCTGCTTCTTCTGCTACTGCTTACTGTTGCTGCTGCTGCTGCTCCCCTTCCTTCTCTTCTTCTTCTTCTTCTTCTTCTTCTTCTTCTTCTTCTTCTTCTTCTTCTTCTTCTTCTTCTTCTTCTTCTTCTTCTTCTTCTTCTTCTTCTTCTTCTTCTTTTTCTGCTTCTTCTTCTGCTTCTTCTTCTGCTTCTTCTTCTTAGCATCAACTGGCTCTAAAGACTGACAGAAAGTTCTAGCTGTTCCACCACTTCTAGATTTGTTCTTGTTGCAGAACTTGAATTTTGCAAGTACATCCATTTCACAGATCTGCTTATTTATTTGTTTCCTATGTGTGCCTATCAATACATGGAGCGCCAACACACAAACAAGCACTTCAGCTGGATACAGTCTCAAGGCTTTTCTAGTTTGAGACACCACAAGGAGTCAATACAGCACGCAGTCACTGTAAGGTTCACTATCATACAATCAATACAGCATGCAGTCACTGTAACGTTCACTATCATACAATCAATACAGCACGCAGTCACTGTAAGGTTCACTATCATACAATCAATACAGCATGCAGTCACTGTAACGTTCACTATCATACAATCAATACAGCACGCAGTCACTGTAAGGTTCACTATCATACAATCAATACAGCATGCAGTCACTGCAACGTTCACTATCATACAATCAATACAGCACGCAGTCACTGTAACGTTCACTATCATACAATCAATACAGCACGCAGTCACTGTAACGTTCACTATCATACAATCAATACAGCACGCAGTCACTGTAAGGTTCACTATCATACAATCAATACAGCATGCAGTCACTGTAACGTTCACTATCATACAATCAATACAGCACGCAGTCACTGTAAGGTTCACTATCATACAATCAATACAGCATGCAGTCACTGTAACGTTCACTATCATACAATCAATACAGCACGCAGTCACTGTAAGGTTCACTATCATACAATCAATACAGCATGCAGTCACTGTAAGGTTTACTATCATGCAATCAATACAGCATGCAGTCACTGTAACGTTCACTATCATACAATCAATACAGCATGCAGTCACTGTAAGGTTTACTATCATACAATCAATACAGCATGCAGTCACTGTAAGGTTCACTATCATACAATCAATACAGCATGCAGTCACTGTAAGGTTCACTATCATACAATCAATACAGCATGCAGTCACTGTAAGGTTCACTATCATACAATCAATACAGCATGCAGTCACTGTAAGGTTCACTATCATACAATCAATACAGCATGCAGTCACTGTAAGGTTCACTATCATACAATCAATACAGCATGCAGTCACTGTAAGGTTCACTATCATACAATCAATACAGCATGCAGTCACTTTAACGTTCACTATCATACAATCAATACAGCATGCAGTCACTGTAACGTTCACTATCATACAATCAATACAGCATGCAGTCACTGTAACGTTCACTATCATTCAATCAATAGAGCATGCAGTCACTGTAACGTTCACTATCATACAATCAATACAGCATGCAGTCACTGTAACGTTCACTATCATACAATCAATACAGCATGCAGTCACTGTAACGTTCACTATCATACAATCAATACAGCATGCAATCACTGTAACGTTCACTATCATACAATCAATACAGCATGCAGTCACTGTAAGGTTTACTATCATACAATCAATACAGCATGCAGTCACTGTAAGGTTCACTATCATACAATCAATACAGCATGCAGTCACTGTAACGTTCACTATCATACAATCAATACAGCATGCAGTCACTGTAAGGTTCACTATCATACAATCAATACAGCATGCAGTCACTGTAAGGTTCACTATCATACAATCAATACAGCATGCAGTCACTGTAAGGTTCACTATCATACAATCAATACAGCATGCAGTCACTGTAAGGTTCACTATCATACAATCAATACAGCATGCAGTCACTGTAAGGTTCACTATCATACAATCAATACAGCATGCAGTCACTGTAAGGTTCACTATCATACAATCAATACAGCATGCAGTCACTGTAAGGTTCACTATCATACAATCAATACAGCATGCAGTCACTGTAAGGTTCACTATCATACAATCAATACAGCATGCAGTCACTGTAAGGTTCACTATCATACAATCAATACAGCATGCAGTCACTGTAAGGTTCACTATCATACAATCAATACAGCATGCAGTCACTGTAATGTTCACTATCATACAATCAATACAGCATGCAGTCACTGTAACGTTCACTATCATGCAATCAATACAGCATGCAGTCACTGTAATGTTCACTATCATGCAATCAATACAGCATGCAGTCACTGTAACGTTCACTATCATGCAATCAATACAGCATGCAGTCACTGTAATGTTCACTATCATACAATCAATACAGCATGCAGTCACTGTAACGTTCACTATCATACAATCAATACAGCATGCAGTCACTGTAAGGTTTACTATCATACAATCAATACAGCATGCAGTCACTGTAACGTTTACTATCATACAATCAATACAGCATGCAGTCACTGTAAGGTTTACTATCATACAATCAATACAGCATGCAGTCACTGTAACGTTCACTATCATACAATCAATACAGCATGCAGTCACTGTAACGTTCACTATCATACAATCAATACAGCATGCAGTCACTGTAAGGTTTACTATCATACAATCAATACAGCATGCAGTCACTGTAACGTTCACTATCATACAATCAATACAGCATGCAGTCACTGTAAGGTTTACTATCATACAATCAATACAGCATGCAGTCACTGTAAGGTTTACTATCATACAATCAATACAGCATGCAGTCACTGTAAGGTTTACTATCATACAATCAATACAGCATGCAGTCACTGTAAGGTTGACTATCATACAATCAATACAGCATGCAGTCACTGTAAGGTTGACTATCATACAATCAATACAGCATGCAGTCACTGTAAGGTTTACTATCATACAATCAATACAGCATGCAGTCACTGTAAGGTTTACTATCATACAATCAATACAGCATGCAGTCACTGTAAGGTTTACTATCATACAATCAATACAGCATGCAGTCACTGTAAGGTTTACTATCATACAATCAATACAGCATGCAGTCACTGTAAGGTTTACTATCATACAATCAATACAGCATGCAGTCACTGTAAGGTTTACTATCATACAATCAATACAGCATGCAGTCACTGTAAGGTTGACTATCATACAATCAATACAGCATGCAGTCACTGTAAGGTTTACTATCATACAATCAATACAGCATGCAGTCACTGTAAGGTTTACTATCATACAATCAATACAGCATGCAGTCACTGTAAGGTTTACTATCATACAATCAATACAGCATGCAGTCACTGTAAGGTTGACTATCATACAATCAATACAGCATGCAGTCACTGTAAGGTTGACTATCATACAATCAATACAGCATGCAGTCACTGTAAGGTTGACTATCATACAATCAATACAGCATGCAGTCACTGTAAGGTTGACTATCATACAATTGCTGAACTCATTCACCAACTGCTAAAAATCATCATCATCAATTGCAATGCCAACTGGCGTAGGCGCTCATTCATCTCCACAGATCAAGATCTATGGTTACCTGGAACAGCTCTCTTGATAATATCCCTCCATGCCATCTTTTTAGCCCATCCAGCATCGTCTCTTTTTGGTCTGCCTCTACCCCTTTTTTCACTGATCTTTCCAGTTGTCACGATGTTCTCCAATGTCTCTCTTTTCATTATGTGGACAAAGAACAGTGTTTGTCTCTTTCTTTTTGTTTTATATAGAGATCTAATTTCATTAGCTTTTTTCAAGCAATCATTGTTAGTTACTTTGATCGTCCAAGGTATTCGTAACATTCATCTCAGAAACCACATCTCTGTTGCTTCAAAATTCTTCCTAATTTGTTCAGTGACATTCCACGATTTGCCTTCATACAGCAGAACAGGTTCTATGTCTAATATCCTAAAACTTTATATTTAAAAAATATAATTGCAAATTAAAAAACCCAGTAGAAAATACTATAAAAATAACTACTTAAATGTTACCCTGTTTCTCTGGTTTTTGCTAAGGAATTTCCGCTTGGCTACCGCACTGATGGTATAACATTTTGATTTTGGTTCTAGTTCATTGTTAATAACTAATTCCCACTGAAGACCAAGTCGGTCCAGAGTGCAAGGGCACTTGAAAAGTTCTGCAGTTTCAGACTTGAAATATGGGTTTTCTATCAGAGCTGAATGTTTGCAGAGGTGCCTGTGGCACAGCTGGCTCGGAGTAAGAGTTGTACCGACCTTAAAGGTCACTACGCCTTTATCACCTGCAACAGAAATAAAGAATTTATTATGCCTTTATTTTTAATGGCCAGAGAAGCGGCTGGACAAGTGGTTACAATGTTGGGCTCTTAAGTGGGAAAGCCAGGTTTGACCCCTATAAGATGATGGAGTTTTTCTGTTGAGTGCAAAATAAACATCCTAACCTGTACGTGGTGACAGCACTAGCTGTGTGGTCTTAAATCCACAGGCTCATGACCCCATTTCTACACAGCCCTATAAAGCTTCACACATTTATATTGGTGACATTTTGTTTTCTTCTTCTTCTTCTACCCTTCAAACCCCCAATGGAGCACAGGCCCTTAACCAACTCATGCCAAGTCATTCTAACCTTCGCTATGGCATGCAGTTCTCCCCATGTCCTCTCCATCTTTTTAACTTCACTCTCTAGCTCAGTTGTGCATGTTTTTTTGGTCTTCCCTTACTTCTATGTCTCTGTGGGTTCCAATGCAAAGACATTCTAGTTAATTTTTTTTTTGAGGTTTCAAGTTTATTTTAGAAAGTTTTCAAGTGCCTTTTATTGTTCATGACTTTCATTTTTTAATGACATTTTAATGTTTGTGTCTTTGTCATCACAAATATTTTCTTGTGGTAGTATAATTTTACCCAATTGTGAGAAAATAAGAAGTAGACTGTGGCACAAGGGGGGAAGACAAACTCATTCATTCTCAGAATATCAAATCTGTTTTTTGAACACTAAACTCATAAATGTACTACTTTGACAAGGTGCAAGTACACATTTCATGTAGAACAAATATGTTATCAGAGTGCTTCAGCACGCTGTGCCCAAACATAAAATGTCTCCGTGGCAAAGTGTTCAAGCCATTTGCCTCCCATTCACAAGGTCACAGGTTCTTTTCCCCAATGTGACCTTCAGTTCATGAGTGCAATTTTTACTAAGATCCCTGGGGATAATCACCAGAGCTACAAAGTTTGTGCTCGGTGTGGCACACTCGGCAGGTGGCTAACCGTTCTAGGGAGAGAGACCAAACGTTAGGGATAAACCCGGTGCAATGAAGTTGATCCTCTCGACTTTAACCTTTAACTTTAACCATTAACTTTAACCTTTAACTTCATAAAATGCATAAAATCATCATCATCAAGTCCCTGCACAACGGTGTAAGCGCTCAAGTCTGTACTGATCTTGGTTCTTGGCATCTGGGATCATCTCCACTGCCATGCCATCACTTCAGAACATTCAGCATCAGTATCACCTGCAGATTGTGATGTTTCACACTAAAGGTCGATGTCCCCTAAACAGCCATTAATGTTGTTCCCTGTATCTGAACTGTTTCGACTCCTGCAAGCTTGGGAAGATAAAATGATAGTTTTCCCTTGCCTTCCACATCAACACAGTGGTCTGCTACTCCTGCCTTTGACAACGATTTCTGACCAATCAGGGCAAGTCAGTATGCTGCTCAGGTACTTAGTTTGTGTATCCTTTACAGGACGTAGCAAAACCAACCCTAGCATTTTTTAGCTGTTGTGTTTTACTAGGCACATTATACATTTAGTAGTTTGCTATTGCTTACTGAAAGGTCAGCTCTCAGTACCAAGGTCGAAACCAATGCAAGACAAGCCGTCCGCAGCTGGGATCAAACTCAGCACCTTAGCAATACAAAGCGTGTTTGCAATGCCTAAGCCACAGACGCTGATGCTCAGGTACAAACATACATGATATACTGAATGGTGCGCACATCTAGTCATACATGGTTTTTATTGGTTTTACTGACAGAGTTAAAAGAAACATCATCATGATGTGCTTTGCTAGATGGCATTCAGAACATTGTCTCTCCACAGATCTTTACCCTTAGTGTTTTCGGTAAGTTCTATTGGAATAATATTCCATCATGAACTGCCGACACAGGCATGACACATTAAAAGATCTGGTGTTAAATCAAAAGGTCAATCTAACAGGATATGGACTGATGACATTAGAGACATTCTACAAAGATACAGAGTGACAGCAGCCACTACTACACAGAAGCAATGGATCAAAAACTGTTCTTTCCAGCGATGATCAATGGCAACAGTTGAATTTGGTAATGATGATAATAATAATGATTCCACCATGACATTGTCTTGTTATCTTGTAATCCTAATTTCAGCTTCATCGCTAATGGGTTCCCCTATAGTTGCTCCACTCCTATACCACCGAAAAACACACAGAATGCCAATCACTGCCCCCTGGAAAAATTGACACATACTGCAGCCTAAGCATGTCCACTATCATGCACATGCATTAAAAGTATAAGGCAGCCACCATAAGTGCTAACACAAACAGTCCAACACCAGAAATGCAGCTCATCATCACTGTAAGGAGTAGCTACTAACAGAGCAGCAGTTGCATACACAATCAATATTAATCATATAAGGAGGCAACACTAATTATGTGGCAACAAGCCACACATCATTTTTTGTATCTACAGTTCACAATACCACCACATTGGTCACAGTCAAAAATCATTCAAAATGAAATCTGCAGCTCACAGTGTCGCTCCATGCACTTAACTCAGTAGCTGGGCAACAAAACAATCTACAAATGTAGGAAAATTCAATGACCACCATATGCCAGGAGCTGAAAACACTGACCGTGCCTAGCATTAATTTTGACAGAAAGCTGACATTGTCTTAGATCATCTGGCATCATTTTTTTTATCATTCTAGAACAAACATGACTGTGTCCACAACCAGTGAGTATATAATTGTGGCAATGGGTCACTGGGTCAGAAATATTACTGATAAAATAGAAAATTTGTAACCATGGAAGTGAGATGTCTGGGATAGCTGTTGAAGTGACCAGAAGAGACAAATTCGGGAATGAGGACGTCAGAGAAAAAAACTGGGTTTTTTTTTTTCTAAATCTGGGTTGAACCGCAGAGCTAATTTGAACAGGAAAAAAAAACAGGAATCCTGCCTCAGCAGGGATGGATAGCAGACCAATTTCTTGGGAGGCAAGTCCACAAACTGTTATGCCAACATGGCTAGCAATCAGGAGTGAGGTCATAAAAACAATTAGGTCGACCAGAACCAATTCTAAATTACATATACAGACAGCAAATCAAATGGTTTGCTTCATTCAAGTTAGGTTTAGGTTTAGATGAAGGATCATCATCTTGGCACCAGAGGTAACCTATAAGTGCTCCGTTCGACTTCTGACTCAAGTCTAAGTCTAGAGAATGTCAGTGCAGTACACAAACTCTGTAGCACCGGTGAGGATCCTGAAATACTTTTAGGTATATTTTAAACTCTTTGCTAGCATAGTGGGTAATGAACATGCAGAGAGATTGGCTGGATCTGCACCACAGGTGGTGAATTGATACATGACAAGGCAGATGTGGTCAAGGCTCTTTAGGATAGAATGGAATGAAGGAACAGACTAAGCCCTATCTGACAAATTATTGTAAATCAGGAGGATGAGGATGGTGGTAGTGATGATGATAATGATGATGATGATGATGATGATGATAATGATGATGATGATGATGACTGCAAATTATACTGTAAACGTACATACCTGTATTTCCTACAGAAGATGCCAGATTTTGTTTCTTCTTACCAACAAATTGCAATTTGGACATGCCATCGTTGGTTGCCACCCCAACTTCAAACGGCTGTTCAGGCAGACAAGTATGTTCACCATTTTTATAATTGAAGATGGCAAATGACTCTTCCTTGTCTGTTTATGTTTAAATATTTGGGAGGGGGTGGGGAGAAGTGAGATCAATTAAATGAATGGCATTTACATAAACTAATAAAGTTTAACTGATTCACCAATACCAATCGCTGGTCAGTTGAATGTTAAATGTTGAATTAAGAATTAAGTTGGGCCACTCCCATAAGTGCTCTGTCATCATCTTCAGCAGCGCCATTCTCCTCAGACCATAATGATCTATCTGTGCCTCCTCACAGTTCACTCGCTCCCAAATGCCCTCCCAATATCCAGCTTGTCATACAACAGTTCACCACCATGTGGTGCACAACTGACCAGTCTATCTGCCTGCTCATTCCCCAACACACCAGCATGACATGGAAAAAATATTCAAAGGACGCTAACTACTCAGACCTCTTAAACGATGCTACTTGGTTAGTCAGAAAATCTAAGGTTCAAATCTGTGGCAAAAGATTTTTTTTTTCTTTTTTTTTTTTTTAGAAATTTCTTTGATTGCAAGGTCAACCATACTTTCAAAACTGTCATTTCTTAAGTCAATAATTGCAATCTGTATCTTGTTACTGTTAAGCAAATAGTTGTCCAAATATTTCTCTTATTTCTATATCTTTCTTGAATTCATCCCATTTAATTCACTGAGTTCCAGCGAGTTGAGCATCCGAAACCCAAGGAGGAGACAAGAGAGACATACAATCAGCGCAATTCACATTCAATGGGCTTTTAGATAGAAACATATGAATGTATAATGCGTTCCTTGGGACTGAGAGAGTTAATGTTCTTTAATTTCTTGAGGAGGTATTTCTTCCCTTTAAAAAAATCCTGTAAAATGTTGCCCCAAGAAGCCACAGAACTGGCATGTCTAGTAGGTAACGTATCCCCGTAAAACCCAAGACATCTGACTAACACAATTTATTGCATCTGCAAGTGCGCAAACATTCAGTGTGGCATGGGCTGACTAAATCTACTATCCAGTTAAAAAAAAAAAAAAAAAAAAAATAAATAAACACCTTTAACAAACATGGCATTTTGAATGTTGAATTAGGAATAGATATTATAGCACTCAGGTCACTCTCACAAGTGCTCTGTCCCCATCTTCAGCAGCAGGCGAAGAGTTTTAATTCTGATTGTACCATTGACTGTCTGATTGTTCATTCATCTTGCCTTTCCCTTTGAGTGTTGAGCATCAGCCAGATCCCCTTGAAAGTCTCCAGCAGACTGTTCTGTAAAAAACATGGCAGGCAAAACTGTACAATACAGCAGCCATTTTTGAACATACCTAACTTACCTGTCATGGAAGTTTCATTTCCCATTTTAACATGACAGTTCACAAGAATTGCTTGGAATATGCTTGTTGTACTGCTGTCACTACGCTGTTTTAGAGTTAAAGCAACAAATAACACAATTAAAACAAATAGTGCAGTCAATCTGTATTAAATTAAGTTGCACAAAACTAATAAATATGTCAGAGAAAAAATATACAAATTTGCAGGAAATCAGGAACTTCTCTTAGCAGTCGTGAAAAGTTACAAGCTAGTATGGTTTGGGCTCGTGGTGAGACATGATTCGACTACAAAGACTGTAATTCAAGAAACATTGGGGGTAGTCGAAGAAGAGGAGGGTTAAGAAGAATCTGGAATAACAACATCAAGAAATCCACAGGACTAAGTTATCATACACTTATTCATCAAGCAGCAGACAGAGAAAGATGGTGGGTTTTATGTGCTAGTGCTTCCAGCGATACACCTCTATGACCCTAATTGGTCAAAGGTTGTAGTGTGTTATGTTAAATTAAGTTGATTTTAAAATTAGGTAAAGGACTTTTCAGGTATATTGTCTTCCCTGTTCCCTGGCTGTAAGATCCAGCTGAAAGTCCTGGTTGTATAGTGATCCTTTTTATTATTCCCTGAAAGAAACTCCATTAATTTCTTTTTCAACTTTAATTAACCAATTTTCTTTTTATTTTGTATTAAAAAAATTAAAGAGTAGACTAACGCAAAACCAGAAATATATTCCAGGGCAAAAAAAAAAAATGTTCACCGACCACGCTTCAATAGTAACAAAGCAAGAGGATAACATGAAATGCATCTAAACACACTTAGACAAACATGATTTGTGTTTTCATTGTATGTAAATGTATCAATTTGATCAGATTTAGGTAATGTATATTGTCATTTCACCCCCGAGAATTACAGTCCTTAGCAACCTGTAACACACAAGCAGATACCTCGGAGTACTAAAGTGAATCTTATCAGAACTATTTTTTGGCCCACACTATGCTAACAATGCCAAACGTGGACACTTACATCCTCCAATGAACGTAAAATTGTGACAACAGAGATGAAATGCCTTAGAAGAGCTGCAGGAGTTTCAAGGAAATCATGAAATCATGAAATCAGACGAATGCTAGGAATAAAGCCAGTGTTATAGGTCATCAAAGAACAACAAATGAAGTGGTTTGGACACCCAACAAGAATGCCCTGGTACTATCCGCCACAGCGAGCCACACTAAAACGTTACCACGGGTATAGAGCGAATGGAAGACCTCGGAAAACATGGAGTGGCATTAAGATCAGCCTTACAGAAATGAACATGTCTTATTAGTGCTCTCGACAGAGCTCATCAACGAACATTACATCTCCCGCCGACACTTCGATGGGGTAAAAGGTGGAAGAGAAGAAGAAGAAGAAGAAGAAGAATCAACCTGTAAGAAAAGTCAAAGACGAGTTAGCTCGTCCTTAGCAGTGGGGACACAGAAAACGGAAGACGAGTTAATTTGCCTTTAACAGTGTACCAGGCGGACGTATATATATATCAGCGACAGGGTTAAATACAACAAAATACAATAAGACAAGTATTTCATACCACTGACTGAAAATTCGTCCATGTTGCCACTAAAACTGAAGTGATTTCAAAATCAGTTAGTTTATGATACTTCTTGACATCTCTGGCTGCTCTAGCAATGACTTCCTTCTGTTTGGGTGATGTCATCTTTTGACTGGACGATTCCAAAGAAGATAATTCACATGTCTCATACAGGTGGTAAGAAACTTCTGTGGTTCCAAAGCATTTGTTATCAGCCCACAAGGGAGCTAACAGGTTCTGGCTGCCAATGTGTGCTGCTTTGAGATTTGGAGAGCCCAACACTGAATAGGAGTCGAATAGGATTACACCATTGTAGAGGACCTGTGGAAGGTTGTAAAATGGTTTGTTGAAGACACCTTTTCTGAATGTCGGACACATCACAAAATCACATCACTGTTGAGGACCTGTGGCAGGTTGAGTGAAGACAATGTTTTTTCGGACACATAAAACAAAATGCCCATCCTGTTGAGGCTTTTAAAATGGGGGACACCTAAATATGAAGCCGGACCATAAATATCACATCGCTTGAGGACCTGTGGACGGTTGAATGGGGTTTCCGTTCTGGTCGGACACTCTGAGGACCCGTGGCACAGTGTAATCCTTATCCGCATGGTGGCACTTTGTGTTACTGAGTGTTTATCGCTTGTGTGATATCCTGGTGGGGTACAACTTACATACATACATTGCACTATTGTAGAGGATCTGTTGAAGCTTACAAGATATTTCAACCCATTTAGTATTTGGCAACTCCCCACACATCTATTCATCATCATTATCAAGTCCTTGCTGACTCACATGGGCTATCATACCTCTCCACAATCTGTGATCTTTAACAGAGTGTATCAGTTCATATCCTGACACCCCTTTATGTCATGATAAAAAAATCTTCTCATGTCATTGTCCTTCTTTATTTCACAGATCTGTTGGCGGGGAGGGGGGGGGGGGGGGGGGGGGGGGGGGGGGGTCACAACATGTTCCAGTTTCCTCTCTTTCATAACATGACCCAAAAAAATGATGACTGCCACTTTATGATATTGATGATAAGCTGTCATAAACTCTTTTAGTCCCAGAGGTTTAGCATCACAGGCCCAAGGGGTAGCCAAGAGACAGACGTAAAATCGGTGCATCTTGCGTTCACTGAGCTTCTAGCTAGAAATCTATGAACATATCATGTGTTCCTTGGGACTCAAAGAGTTAAGCCCTTGCCTCTTTTAAAACCTCTGGGTTGCTATTACTTTTTGTTGTTTTTGTTGTTGTTGTTGTTGCTGCTAAGGAAGTCTAAGAATTCTTCTATAAAACCACATTGCTGAAACCTCACCCAAAAAAATGTTTGGCTGGTTTATCAACTGCATAGAAACAGTATATTACAATGTGCAGCGAAATACTGACCAAGTGGACATAAAAATGGAGGAAAACAATGTCAAGGATGGACAGAGACTTAAGGAAGCTCAGAGAAACCCTGAATACAAATTACTCAGACGCTGCCCTGCTGTTTACACTTCGCTGCTGGTCGCTGCAAGCTAAAATACGAAGGAGAAGATATGAGATTACCATCATTAAAGAAAAAAAATGTGTTGCGTTCTCCACATTACAGGTTAGCTGTTGTTTACCAATGTTGTCTTAAGGAATTTATGTAGTGATGCCACATTTCTTCCACAGCTTGACTTTTATAACATTGTCTGAAATGAGGAACAATGTTTTTTTTTTTTTTAAGCCATTCACTGCAGGAAACGAACCCTAGAAGCCTTTATACATATTATAAGTTAGGTTTTAAGAAGAAGAATAAAAAAAAATTAAAAAACCAGAAATATACATCTAAAGATCTCTCAAAAATTGTCACTTGAACTAAATGACACAGTTCATGAAACAACCCATTTACTTCAGAGCGTGAGCTCAATGCTATAACCTGTTCGATGAATCAATCATCTGCCATGCCAACAATGAAGTTGTCTGTTTTGGATTTTAAACACTTCTGTCTCTTGGCAGTAAATTTTTGGGACAATAGTTGTAAATCTCTTGATGTTTCCTCTCACTTCAACCACTTCCTGTCTTGCCCTATACGATCTTCTGTTCAATACAGACAGTGATGCTTTTATGTTGAATGTTGAATTAAGAATCGACATAACAGCACTCGGGACACCCCCATAAGTGCAAGTGAAGAATTAAAATTGTGATGGTACCTAACTGACTGATTGTATATTCCATTAGCCTTTCCCCTGAGTGTCAGCCAGATCCCCTTGTAACTCCTCGCAGTGCCATTCCTCTCAGACCCCAATGATCTACCTGTGCCTCGGCACCGTTCACTCACTCCCAAAGGGCTCTCACAACATCCAGTTTGTCATACATTAGTTCACCACCAAGTGATGCAAAACTGTCCAATCTTATCTGCCTGCTCATCTCCCAAAACACCGGTATGACCTGGAGAAAATATCCAAAGGATGCTAACTACCTGGGACCTTTAAAGTGATGCTTGCAACTTTGCATGAAGCATGCCTGTCTCCACCTATCTCAACATGCTCTGTTAGTTTGTTACAATTGATGCTTTTATGAGGGATCATTACATAAAAGACGAGAATACTGCTACATAAAATCTGTTAGTTTTAAATTATACTCACATAAGCCACTGATTGAGGACTCTTGCCTACGGGTATCTCTGTGCTGAATTTCACTGGCTCACTGACAGGTGTTTTATTGATTTTGGTGCTCTGTTTGGGGTTAATGAAATTGTCTGCAGCTTCAAGACCATGTGGGTACAGTGTTGCTGTTAACAGAATGAGAAAAAGGAAAAGAAAAGGTGCTTTATTAATATCCTACCCCAGATGACGTCACAGGACAGCCCCACATTTTAGAGGGTGGTAAGACTGGGTTTCCCAGCTTCTCATGCTTTTAACGACCCCAAAACATCTAGAACTGTCCCTAACCCCAACCCACCTACGTCACACGAGAGAGTGCAGCCTAGGTCCCACGATAGCATGCAGCCCATCTACAACCACCTGAAATATTAGACTGTCTCAAGACCTGTGGATTTACCTTGTTTGGCGTAGGATATTAATAAAGCACCAAAAGAAAAAAACCCATTTAAATTGGCAAGGTTTTAAAGATTAAATAAATATTTTCATTTTTAGACATAGGTCTATGCTTGATAGAGAAAATTACTATGGGAAATCATGAGGACATTTCTGTCAACAATAACACCAATCAAATACACAAATAAAGTGGCCATGGTAAAGCCAGATTTCTTTAGAATGTTCCAATCAAATGTGTCAATAAATAGAAGAACACATTAGGTAATGGGTAGGATTCAATGGAAAACATCACATATTGCTTGAGATTTAAACAATTCACATCACTTTCATCTACTATTAAGATGGCCTGGTATCAGAACTCATTAACATGTTTCAAACAGGACTTTAGTATGGCATGTGAAGAAATCCAGAGTTTGGCAGACTGGAAAATCTCAAAGACAAAAACAAAGCTAAGGACATTTTATATTGCCAGATATGTAAATACCTGCTCAAATGGTCGTCAATAACTTGGTGACCCAGTGACACTCTGTGTTATGGGACTACAGATTCCCTAGTGAAATTAATTATCTCGGGGTCAAGATTTTCGTAAAAAGACATATCATAATGAGAAGTGGACACAGAATCACCAAACAGACACTGATTGCATTCTTTTCGTGACTACTTGGTCTCAACACATGGCGTCCACCTTGAGTGCTAGAGGTTCTGGGTTCAATCCCAGGTAAGGGCTGGGGTTTTTTCAACATGCACTTGGACTTCAAGCAATTCCTCCTGGTCTCTGGGCAGTGAGATCGGATGCCCCACTACATTGTTGTGCACATAACAAATCCATTGGCAGTGGGTAAATCAAAAAGAGTAGCTAAACGGCACTACCCGAGCAACATTTGCAGTTAAAATCTACTCAAAGTATTTTCAGGATCATCTCCAGTGCTGACTCAAGACTTGAGTTAGAAGAAGAACGGAGCACTTATGGGTTACTACCCGTGTGCAATGATGTTGATCTGTTGTTCAAACCCCAAACCACAAACCTTTTCATGACATTGAAAAGATTATTATTATTTTCCTCCCTCCTCCTCGTCCTCTTCTCCTCCTCCTCCAATTTACCATCTTCAGTGAATGCTGTTCACAGATATTTGAAGTTTGAAGTTTGAACCACTGATCAACATAATGGCACACTGACAGTAACCCATAAGTGCTCCTTTCTTTCTTCTAACTCAAGTCTAAGTCTGAAGACGCTCATCACAGTACACAGGCTGTGTAGCACCAGTGATGATCCTGAATTACTTTGGGTAGATTTTTAACTCAAAATTTTTTGCCAGAGCCATGCAGTTAGGCTACTCTTTTCAATTTCCAACTGCCAAGGGATTTTTATGTGTGCGCAACAATGCACACGGGCGTCCGATCTCACTACCCAGAGACCAGGGGGAATTACTAGAAGTCCAAGTCCACGTGAAAAAATTCCAGCCCTTACCGGGGATTGAACCTGGAACCCTGTTTAACACCTTTGCACTCTACTGCTGTTTTTATATTCTGCTTCTTTCTTGTGCTTGTGTTGTGTTTGTGTGTGTGTTAAGTCTGTGTTAATACATTGCATTTGAGGTTAGGGGTTAGGTCCAGTTCTACATGTTTTTGGGGTTGTTAAAAGCATCAGAAAGAAAGACAGGAAACCCTAGTCTTACCACCCTATAAAATGTTGGACTGGACTGTGACGTCATCTGGGGTAGGATATTAATAAAGAACTAAACATCAAGATATTCACCAACAGTTGTCCGAAAAAATGACTGGTTGCATCTACGTGTATGTGTTGTGTACGTATGTCTCTGTATAGTGTATCAATATTTGTTGTCTGTAGTGTCTGTGAGTACATGTTATGACTGGGTTTAATTCTGAGTATTTTTGCATAAATATTTAAAAGCAAGCATTTATCATCCTTGCCTTTGTATTTCTAATTTACATTTATACAATGAATTTTAACATAATAATATAATATGCTTCATATATACAATTCAAATGCCGTCTGAAAGAGGAATGATTGGAAGGGCCAAATGTAAGACAGGCCTGCATGCCCAATTTGTAACCCTTTGGAAATAAAGTTTACTCATTCATTCGTTCCTGTAACATTACTTCTGTCTTTTCAATGTTGATTCTTATATTATTAAAAAGATTGAACATGATTAAATACAATGGAGGAATAGATTCACATCCCTATTGAATTTGAACAGTCCATCAGGACAATCACAGTAACAATGATGATGAGGACAATGATAGTAGTGATGATGATGATGATGATGATGAGAATGATGATGATGGTGATGATAGTGATCATAATGATGATGAGGATGATTATGGTAATGATGGTGATGATAGTTACCCAAACATGTAATTTTATCACTGCTCAAGGCCATATCTTCAGGGCAGTAACATGTGTCCTTTCCAGTGAGCGGATCTTTATCACACAAATGGGAACATTGCTGTCTCATGGACCGACTACAACTGGAACTTTCTGAAATATTCACACATCGTAATCAATGTTTAATGTATCTCATACATCAAAGTCCATCCCACGGTGCTGGTGCCTTGTCGTGGCGGGATGGCTTGAGTACTCTAATGACTCTCAGAGCTATGCCGGCAGGAGACTTGTTTCCCTGGCAGGTTTAACCCTGCCCAACAGATCTTGAAAAGAAGAGTCAGACCAAACTAGCATCTTGGTCCTCCAGGCAAAGGTTTGACAACCCATTACCGGAAAAAAAAATACTTTGTTATGGAAACAGGAACAAATGAAATCACTGAACTGGTGAAAAGAAGTAAAGCTTGCCAGATATTTGGTAATGGGAAATGAAGGGATGTAAACTGACATGGGATACTATGGGTAGAAAAGCAGCAGATCAGCAGCAATGGAGATCACTTGTGAATGCCTTATGTGCCAACAGCAATATGAAGAGGATACAGAGATACATCAAAGTATTTATCTCACAAACTGCTTAGACTACAACTTGGATGCTCTTGTTTTACTACACTGGAAGAGACCTGTAATCTATGACAAAAATACAATAATATAGAGCACTATTTTCTGGAGTTGGGAAATATGAAAACCAAAGGAAACCATTAACTAAATATGTGAAACTGTAATTTATCTAGGAGTATGGAAAACTTGCTACCTTTAAACAGCCCCAGACAGCTGTGCAGCAAGGTTAACTCTACCAGACAGCTGTGTGACGAGATAAACTCTACCAGACAGCTGTGTGACGAGGTAAACTCTACCAGACAGCTGTGTGACGAGGTAAACTCTACCAGACAGCTGTGTGACGAGGTAAACTCTACCACACAGCTGTGTGGCAAGATTAAGTAGTTTATTATAAGGACTAAAATCCTTCTAAGGAAAAGTAAAGTATGCCAATGACATCTTTTAAGAAGGTTCCCCTAAAGATAAAATCGAGGAGAATAATCAATGATTGCACACTAAGGAAACATTATACCCCCCATGAAATTGTTAGTAAGATTGTCTAATTATTCATAATGCAATTTCTGTCATAATCTCCAACCCAAATCAAAGCAAAATTTGAAACATTACAAATTACATTCTGGTCATTTAAATAAATACATGATATCATCATCATCATCATCATCATGTGCTCCTGCGTCTCAACAGATCACTATCCCTGTTGCCTGGAACAGCTCTCTTGATGATATCCCTATATGCCATTGTTTCCGCCTATCCAGCATCATCTCTCTTCCTATCTATGGTGGTGTGGTCAACATCATATTGATGGTGGTGTGGTCAACATTATATCTATGGTGGTGGGGTCAACATCATATCTATGGTGGTGTGGTCAACATCATATCTATGGTGGTGTGGTCAATGTCATATCTATGGTGGTGTGGTCAATGTCATATCTATGGTGGTGTGGTCAACATCATATCTATGGTGGTGTGGTCAACGTCATATCTATGGTGGTGTGGTCAACATCATATCTATGGTGGTGTGGTCAACATCATATCTATGGTGGTGTGGTCAACGTCATATCTATGGTGGTGTGGTCAACATCATATCTATGGTGGTGTGGTCAACATCATATCTATGGTGGTGTGGTCAATGTCATATCTATGGTGGTGTGGTCAATGTCATATCTATGATGGTGTGGTCAACGTCATATCTATGATAGTGTGGTCAACATCATATCTATGGTGATGTGGTCAACATCATATCTATGATGGTGTGGTCAACATCATATCTATGGTGGTGTGTTAAACATCATATCTATGATGGTGTGGTCAATGTCATATCTATGGTGGTGTGTTAAACATCATATCTATGATGGTGTGGTCAATGTCATATCTATGGTGGTGTGGTCAATATCATATATATGGGGGTGTGGTCAATATCATATCTATGGTGGTGTGGTAAATGTCATATCTATGGTGGTGTGGTCAATATCATATCTATGGTGGTGCGGTCAATGTCATATCTATGGTGGTGTGGTCAACATCATATCTATGGTGGTGTGGTCAACATCATATCTATGGTGGTGTGGTCAATGTCATATCTATGGTGGTGTGGTCAATGTCATATCTATGATGGTGTGGTCAACGTCATATCTATTATGGTGTGGTCAACATCATATCTATGGTGGTGTGGTCAACATCATATCTATGGTGGTGTGGTCAACATCATATCTATGGTGGTGTGTTAAACATCATATCTATGATGGTGTGGTCAATGTCATATCTATGGTGGTGTGTTAAACATCATATCTATGATGGTGTGGTCAATGTCATATCTATGGTGCTGTGTGGTCAATATCTCTATCTATGGTGGTGTGGTCAATATCATATCTATGGTGGTGTGGTAAATGTCTATCTAGACAGTGTGTTCAATATCACGATCTATGGTGGTGCGGTCAATGTCATATCTAGATGGTGTGGTCAATGTCATATCTATGGTGGTGTGGTCAATATCATATCTATGATGGTGTGGTCAATGTCATATCTATGGTGGTGTGTTAAAAATCATATCTATGATGGTGTGGTCAATGTCATATCTATGGTGGTGTGTTAAACATCATATCTATGATGGTGTGGTCAATGTCATATCTATGGTGGTGTGGTCAATACCATATCTATGGTGGTGTGGTCAATATCATATCCATGGTGGTGTGGTAAATGTCATATCTATGGTGGTGTGGTCAATATCATATCTATGGTGGTGCGGTCAATGTCATATCTATGATGGTGTGGTCAATGTCATATCTATGGTGGTGTGGTCAATATCATATCTATGGTGGTGCGGTCAATGTCATATCTATGATGGTGCGGTCAATGTCATATCTATGATGGTGTGGTCAATATCATATCTATGGTGGTGTGGTCAACATCATATCTATGGTGGTGTGGTCAATGTCATATCTATGGTGGTGTGGTCAATGTCATATCTATGGTGGTGTGGTCAATGTCATATCTATGGTGGTGTGGTCAACATCATATCTATGGTGGTGTGGTCAATGTCATATCTATGGTGGTGTGGTCAACATCATATCTATGGTGGTGTGGTCAACGTCATATCTATGGTGGTGTGGTCAACGTCATATCTATGGTGGTGTGGTCAACATCATATCTATGGTGGTGTGGTCAACATCATATCTATGGTGGTGTGGTCAACATCATATCTATGGTGGTGTGGTCAACATCATATCTATGGTGGTGTGGTCAATGTCATATCTATGGTGGTGTGGTCAACATCATATCTATGGTGGTGTGGTCAATATCATATCTATGGTGGTGTGGTCAATATCATATCTATGATGGTGTGGTCAATATTATATCTATGGTGGTGTGGTCAATATTATATCTATGGTGGTGTGGTCAATATTATATCTATGGTGGTGTGGTCAATATCATATCTATGGTGGTGTGGTCAACATCATATCTATGGTGGTGTGGTCAATGTCATATCTATGGTGGTGTGGTCAATGTCATATCTATGGTGGTGTGGTCAATGTCATATCTATGATGGTGTGGTCAATGTCATATCTATGGTGGTGTGGTCAACATCATATCTATGGTGGTGTGGTCAATGTCATATCTATGGTGGTGTGGTCAATGTCATATCTATGATGTTGTGGTCAACGTCATATCTATGGTGGTGTGGTCAACATCATATCTATGGTGGTGTGGTCAATGTCATATCTATGGTGGTGTGGTCAATGTCATATCTATGGTGGTGTGGTCAACATCATATCTATGGTGGTGTGGTCAACATCATATCTATGGTGGTGTGGTCAACATCATATCTATGGTCGTGTGGTCAACATCATATCTATGGTGGTGTGGTCAATGTCATATCTATGGTGGTGTGGTCAATGTCATATCTATGGTGGTGTGGTTAACATCATATCTATGATGGTGTGGTCAACATCACATCTATGGCCATGTGGTCAACGTCACATCTTTGGTGGTGTGGTCAGTGTCATATCTAAGATTGTGTGGTCAACAACATATTTATGGTGGTGTGGTCAACGTCATATCTATCGCCTATACATCCAAGGATATTAGTTTTGGTACCCATTCTCGGCTGGGTTCGTCCGGGAGCCTGCGTCAGTTTAATCAGTTGTACTTTACACTTTGTCAACTCTGACAGTACAAAGCAACTCATCATTCATATATTGATGATTGTTAATAAACAAATAGATATGTATTGATCAGCACTCACACAAAGAATTAGAAGCACAGAAAGATTAAACTCTAAAGCTATGATTACAATGCCTGGAAGGAAACCTATCACCTCCAAATGTTGATGGCCCCTCACTGGAACATCTGTACAAAGATGCATGATCAACACATCTTCTCCCAGGATTTCAAGCAAAAATGCTATTCAAAGATTCTCAAAATACTATAGACCACCAAGAAGAAAAGAAATGCTGGCATTCTAAATAATTTGTCATTATGAAATTAGCAAATGTGAAGTAACAACTGTCTGGTAACAGAAAAGTTAAAACTTGTAAAAAATTCAACACTCACCTTCACACAGATTAGTTTCCCTATTCATGACGTATCCAGAATGACATTCACACAAGTATTTCCCAGCCACATTGATGCAGTCAGAGTTCCTGGGACACATTCTCGGATTTCGACACTCATCCCGATCTTCTGAGCATCCACGACCCACCCAGCCTGGTTTGCAAAAGCAGATGCCGTTGACATTGTCACAGAACTGGGTGTTGTCAGCACTGCAGGGGCAGGTACGGTTGCAAATCTCATCTCCGTACATAAATGAAGGACATACTGTTTGATGGAAAGCAAATACATTTGTTTATCCAGTATAAATGGAAATAATGGTTATATCAGGGAAAAGAATATCAAAATAGTGTGAAATCACTTTGCAGCCACATGTACACAAAATTTAAAATCAGCGAATCAGCCATGTGCACACGTGGATTGGACACCTGAGACAACAGATCATGTCCTCCAAGACTGTCCCAAATGCAACATATCAAGGCAAAACTTTTGACCAAGAGAAACATCGGTGCAAGTCAAACTTTACGGGTCGCTGAGCGAATTATAAAAGACAGTGAAGTTTATACTAGAGACAACATTGCAGATATAGATAATTTTTTTCAAGCTAATAAAAGAAGAAGAATAAGTTTGAAATCAGAATAGAATGTAAAACAATAATCCAAATTGATAAATTCAAATATCTGGGTACAATCAAAACATCAGACGGAAGAGTTGTGTCAGAAATCAAATATCTGGGTACAATCAAAACATCAGACGGAAGAGTTGTGTCAGAAATCAAATACCTGGGTACAATCAAAACATCAGACGGAAGAGTTGTGTCAGAAATTAAGAGCAGTAAAGGCCAGGCTGCATTTCAAAGAATGAAGAACATCTTGTGCAACGGTCCCTCTCTTTGGATGTCTGATAGAGAGTGGTACAATATTCCGTAGAACCTTTATTACTGTATGACAGTAAAACATGGAATGTGATTGCACAAATTAGAAAGAACTTGGAGGCGACAGAGATGTGGTTTTTCAGACGAATGCTAAGAATCCCTCATGATGATGATGATGATCTAGTATATTCTAATAAATTGTGAACACTGAATATTTACATAAAAGAAATTATATTTTCATCATCATCATCACTGTCCTGTTGCTTGCAGCCTTTACTTTCCCTTGGGGCCACATTAGAGCAGTCAAAAGGAGACTTGGTTTCAAATCCAGCTGTGACTCACTGCAGCCAACAGCTGGGGTTTACAAACTGGACGGTACCCGGGTTTTACCGAGCCTCCAGGAAATGAGTTAACACAATGGGGTAAATAGAGAAACATTGCTGTAGCTACGGAGTTGTGTGCGGATCGGTGGACAATTTTTTTTGTCAGCTGGTGGCAGAGCACTTATGGTTTATACCCCTGTGCAATGATGCTGGTTCACATCTCCCGACTTTACCTTTTTTTTTGCAATCAACAATCCTATTGATATCATGGATTGAATGGAGCGGCGCCTTTACCCCATCCTATCAACTTTTGTTTTAGCTTTTTCTCTTTTAAGAAGGAAAAGGGGAAGTTGTGGACGACCTCACTTCCTTAATATTTTATTTCTCATTTCAGTGCCTGTTTGTGATTCTCTGCTCGTTTCTGTCTTCAGAATATGTCCGATATAGCATGATCTACCACGAGCAACTCGATGTGATGGGTTAACGCAGTGGTTTTAAAACTGGGTGCCATGAGCGTATGCTAGGGGTACCACGGCAATAACCAAGAAAAATCAGCGAAATTTTGTGAAATTATTAAAGAAGGCATGTAGATACTTTAAGTTAAAATTCAAGTTATCTCCCCTCTCCACTGTCGAAAATAGTTTATTTCTTGTTTGAGAACCGCTGCATCAGCGCCCGTCAGCAGAACAGAACCAATACTGAACTTTATAGGTAAACAAATCAAATTGTTTGGCCATGTAACAAGACTGACATCAGACAGGGCACCACAGAGTGCAATGTTATACTGATATAGTGGTAACAGATCCAGAGGTCAACCACAGAGAAGATGGACCACAGAAAAATCAGAGACGAAAAGTACTTTATACAAAGCAAACAGAAGGATCCGTTCTCGAGATCTCTTCCTGCCCTGACATCACAAGGCATTCCAGGAGTAGAGAAACAAGATTAGTTGCGTATCCTTTACAGGATGTTGCATAACCAACACCACCAGCCCCTGGCCGTTGTGTGGGTTTTCTAGGCAAATTTACGTCCAGTAGTTTGCCATTTCTTTCTTGATGGTCGGCTTTTTTGATACCACTGTCGAAACCAACACAAGGCGCATGGCCCACAGCTGGGATGGAACCCGGCATCCCGGCATTACAAAGCGTCCACATCGACTCAGCCACAGAGCCAACAGAAAAACAAAGAAGAAGAATTACTAAAACAATAATCATATTTACCATGCACATGGTAACTGGCATTGAAGCCTGTATGCACTTCAAATGGAGACCCATCAGTTTTGAAAGCGATTCTCATTTTGTTGCCTTGTGTGCGCAGTAAATCAGGAATCTTTTTTCCACAGTACTGACCAATAAGTTTCTCACTGGACTCACTCACATCATAAATCTCTAGGACATCACTCCAGCATTTGGGAGTTGCTTCAAGATCAAATTGGGAAAACCTGTCATAAGATTGAATGAACACAGTTTTTAATAAACAAATCTCTGTACTAACTGCTGTGACAAGAAAAGTGAAAGAGTTGAGTTAAGTGGAGTCAAAAATTGACATCACAGCACTCGAGGCATTCCAATGCATGCTCTGTCCTCATCTTCAGCAGCCAGCGCATAGTTCTAATACTGATGGTACCATCACAATCTGGTTAAATGTCTCACTTGCCTTTTCTCTGTGTGTAGTGAGCCTGCCAGACCCTCTGGTTACACCCAGGTGCCTTATTCTCTCCAGGCCATAATAATCTTCTATCTCTACTGATTCCCTTGCATGTTCCCAAAGGGATTGACCACATCTGCCTTGACATGTATCAATTCACCACCCAGTGGTGCAGATCCAGCCAATCTGTCCCCCTGTTCATTATCCACCACGCCGGCATCTTCTCTCTCAGTTTTCCTCTGATTCTTCCCCTCCAACTTTCCTGCCATGCCCTGTCTTCATCTTTAACCAAAAGTGAAAGAACAACCATCTAGAAGAAGTAATTTACCATGTGGGGGTTCCAGGCATTTGTTGCTGGAAAACATGAATAGATACACTGATTGCTAATAAGCATCTCAGAAGAGGTAACTAATTAAAGATTAGCTAAAACTTGCATTCAGAAATTTGCTTTTGATGTTTGTCTGAAGGGCTCAGATATCACATCCTAGCTGTAAACCACAATGATTCAACAGGCAAATAAAGAAAAATAATAAAAGGTAGAAATTACATACACTTGATGGTGTACATCCATATACCCCAGGGATTCATACTTATAATCATCGTATTCTACATTATGCATCTAACATAAACATGACTGCTGGGACTCAAAATAGGATCAGACTGACAGCAAATAGGGAAGACAAATGGATCGATACTGACAGAACCAGAGCACCTAAACCCCAATCCCCCCCTTCCCTCCTCCAAATGGTATGATGGTAAAGACTGGTGTTGTGATACGTATTACAGAGGTTTTTCATTTACGTACACCGGAGCCTAGCTACCAACCCAAACCCACATAACTGGACCACATTATAAGAAATGATGGGTAGAATCATTGTGAGGCTCCATGTAACATTTCACACACATCTCCATGACATGATTAACCCATTCTTGTTGCAGGAAGACAACTTTAAGACCACTATTGTCACACATGGAATATTTTCACATTTCGGGTCTATCCAAACCCCAAAACTGTTTTCAGTACTTTTCGGAAAAGTAAAATACAGTAGAACCTCACTTAACGAGCACCTCTCATAACAAGTAATTCGCATAACGAGCAAAACAAGATGTAAAAAAAATGACTTGCTTAACAAGCGACATTTTGCATAACGAGTGGCCGGGAGAGGGGAAGTCCCGAATTATGAGCATGTTACATCAGTCTGTGTTGAGCACTCGTTCCAGTAGCATCGTAGTGTCGCTTGTGGTCACACATTTTCTCAAACTTGTGTTAGATTGTGATATATGTACATGAATCCTCCAGGCCTACAAGATGAACTCTCCGAAGAATGTTATTCAAGATCGAGTTTCTGCCTCCCAACACCACCCCTTTACTCCAGCCCATGGACCAGCTAGTTATTTCTAACTTTAAGAAGCTCTACACTAAAGCACCCTTAAGGCCTTGATTTCAGAAGACTGAAGGGACCAACCTCACACTCAAAGAGTTTTGGAAAAATCACTTCCACATCGTTGCCTGCCTCAAGATGATCAACAAAGCGGGAGAGGGGGTTACCAAGAGAACCCTAACTTCTGCTTGGAAGAAGCTTTGGCCGGAGAACGTTGTTGATTTGTAACTTTGAGGGGTTCAAGACAGTACCCGTGGAACCTGTAGTGAACGAGATTGTGTCTTTGGTCACTATCATGGCATTGTAGGTGGATAACAGTGATATCGAAGAGCTTGTGGAAGAGCACAGCCAAGAGCTGACCACCCAAGAGCTTATGAAGTTGCATTTTGTTTCAGAAAACAGAAAAGCAACAATCTTCTGGCCAAAAAAAAGAGAAATGCTGAAAGCATGGCAAACTTTCGCATCTTACATTGAGAAGCATCACCTTAATAAGGAAGTGGCTATAGGCGTTACAAATTTATTTAATGATAATGCTGTGTCGCATTTTCACAAAATTTGGAAACATCGGCAAAAACAAATGTCTATGGACATCTTTCTAGTAAAACAAATAATTAGCTCTGTATCATAATTATTTCGACTTTTTTCTGCAAATTGAATTCGCATTCCAGGTGGGTTCGTTCCGCCTTTGAAGAAAAAATGAAGATGATTCACTTTCCTTAACAATATGAATATAATTTTCTTTGAATAAACATTATACGTAGCATATTTTGAGCATTTTTTTTTTTCGACATGGAACGCATTATCGTATTTTATTCCAGAAACTTAGCCACGAAAGTGGTGTAAACAAACAAAACCACAAATATAACCGGAGACTGTTGGCAGCTTTGGCTGGCTAGCAGCAGGTTGAGCGTGGTTGAGTTTTTGAATTTTTCTCAAAAAGAACTGGAATTGGATTTACAAGCAGATTGCGTTTAATGACACTGTTCGTTGTTAAGAACATCTTCATCATACACTGGACATGACCATAAGTACTTCAACCTC